ACGTTAGGCTGGTTTCTCAGTGGTACCTGAGTGTTTTACATCCAGGACGTCTGTGCTACCGTCCTGTAATTATAATGGCCTTGAATAACTAACAGGGACATTATATGGAAGGCATGAGTTATTAACATTTGATGTAACCACTTCAGTTTCAGTTACAGTAAACGGTTATCAAGTGGAATTGTACCATTTAGCTAAAAGGTGAATGACTGAAAGCATTAAAAAAAAAAAAGTTACAAATTCATTACATTGTTAGACCAGTAGCTGCAACACAAATGGCACACGTTTCAAATAAATGTTGTTACCTAACATTTAGGGGCTAATTTGTGACCATAAATCAATCAATTATTAAGAATATATATACAACAATAAGTTGACTGACAACTTTGCAGACCTTGTCATTTCTTTGTTCTCAAAACATCTTTTAGCTTTTAAACAGTGATACTAAAATTATTGTTATAAAACATGGCTATTAAAGACTTAGAGGGCCATTAAACTTTGCTTGTCACTTGGAAATTGTGAATATCTTGGCTGGGACAAGGCTGGTGGCTGCAATATCGAGCAAACATTTCTGCTAAATTTTCATAATTTCTTGGAGAGTCTTGAGGCTTTTCACTTGGCCATGCCATAACTGTCAATATCTTCATCTTCAGCCATCCATTGGTGCATCTGGATACTTACATTTGAAAGACTCTACTCCCAAACTATACCATTTTCACTGCCATGCTTCTGAGCTAACTTTTTTTTTTCTGAAGAGGTGTTTATGACATTTCGACTTTTAGTGGTTCCAAAGAACTCTCTCTATGATTCATGACGGAGAATGATTTTAAAAAAATTCTAGTACTTGGACCAAAAAAATGATGATATTACAATATTTTGCTTGTTTTTTTGGACCAGTTAAGATTTTATTTTCTTGAATCATCCCCCACACTGGTCGAATTTTTACCAGCTATTTCTGATTGTGAACACATGCATTTGCACACAAACTGTTGCAAGAGCTGCCCCCTCAGCAAGTGATGAAATGTTGGATGTCTTGTTGGGTTTTTCTCCCCTTCAGACTGTTATTTGTCTGAATTAACTTGGACAGTCAATCCTGGGCAAACCGGCATTCTTTATAGATTTTCTTCATTTGCATTTTTTTAAAGTATTGAAATCATTTAGAGATCTTTTCAAGTGATTTGCCAGACCTTTGATATCCACAACTTATCTTCAAGATATTAGAGGGACTTTTAGATCCACCATGATGACACAACATTTCGAAACAGACAGCAAGAATAAGAATGGTATGAATATTTATCATTTCTATTCTGTGGCCACCGTTTCAGAGAATACAGAGCATTTGCTTCTTAAATCATTCAGTGAAAATCATTCAGTTTCTACACATTACATGCCTCAGTCCTCTGAAAATACATGTGCTGGAGTAAACTCCCTTTGTGCTTCAGTTTCCTGCCTTTGTGCATCCCTTGATGATATTGAAGACAGAGACTCAGGCAAATAGCCAAGCTGATAGAGACAGGCAGCCACAGGAGCAAGCAGTCAGACAGGAACGCAGACTTAAAAAGTTAAATGAGTGCATTAGTTCAGAGGTCAGAACACTCAGTAATTAGTTTAGTTCTGTGTTTTTACGCAAAACTCCAACATACAACATAGCCTACAAACATTCCTTTATTGCTCAGTCTCCATATGTGTCCATATGTCTAATGCAACAGTCAAACACTGTAACCCTAAGTCAAACCTATCAGACCGACTCAAAGTAAATTGTTTGGCAACTTTCACATCGGCTGTAACCTTTTCGATTGTTGAAAAGCATATGAACACACATTGTGCAGAAATGCGCAAGCTGGATGTTTCATAGATGCAGAGCGAGTATTAAGTTGCAGTGATTGCAGGCATGTATCTGTGTGTGTGGTGTGTGTGTACAGTGAGGCTGAAGGAGGAGGGGTGTTTGACACTGTCAGCCACTGCTGACACTGTAAAGCACAAATTTCCAGAACCTCAAAACATATGGTTGAGATTGTTTTCATCATGGCATTTTATCACTGATTAAATCCAGAGTTGGCAAACTGAGACAATGTTTTGTGTGCATCAGTTTTATAAGCTTTGAATGCTTTAATCTGATGATGACTATGTTTTTACAGTTATATGCCTTGCTTCGCTCCTTATCTGAGTAGAGTTTTATTTGGAACAAAGACAACCATTTGGCTTTGATGATGCCATACTGTCATTCATTCACCTTTTCCTCATTCAAAACAAAGAAATCCTTTATGTGTGATTATAAATAATCTTACATCTGTCAAAGATCATCTGGAAAATGCATCAAACACCTTTCGTTCCAGTGAGATACAAACCCTCAAGACCAAGTGTGATAGAGCTGAAATCTTCTCCCACTCTTGGGTTAGGCACCGTTCCTCTGCTGCACTGTGGTTCTGTGCAGTTCAAATCAATATATGTTTTATCACTGAAGTCAAAGTTTTAATGCTAATATATATATGTATATTATTGTAAATACTATAGAAAATAGAATGACATAAGATGAATATCAGCAAAACATTTTTGGAAAGCTGAGTTGATGCAGAGTTGAAGTCATGGATAAGATGTGCAGAGAATGTCATGAATGGACAGCGGTATTGTTTTTGTAGCTTGGCAACAGCTAAGCTGACAATTTGACAAAAGGCGTAAGCAGGTAAGATCCACAGCACTATAAAAAAAACAGCCAAAAATTCAAAATCCCTATTTGCATTCTTTTGTTGCACACACAGTTGGAAAGCTCAGGAAAGTGGCATCAGAGTCCTCCCCGCAGACACGTCTCAGTGACACAGATACTATTGTCTTACCAATACCAATATTTCTGCATCCTCACTGGGATATTAGGCTGTCCACTTTGTTTGCTCACATTTCCCTGACAACTGAGGGAGGAACTCATTTAAACATCTTCTTTCTTTCCCACTGTTGTTCCTGCTGTGCATCCTTGACATGTTGTCTTTGGCTGAACTGGATTTGGAGTCTTAACTCCAGGCATTATTGAGGTTTGGGAGGCTCGATCACTTGCTCTTATAAGCAAATACCTTTTCTATTGGCATAGTTATAATTACAGATGAAAAAAAAAGAAAAAGTACCCCAAATCACAGTTGAAATCTTCTCAAACAGCATCAGCATGTATTCTTCCAAAAGCAGACTAAAATCAGCATATCAGTAAGTTTTTGTCTGTCAGTAACCTACCCCTAACACAATGTGCCCATTGTTTATTGAAAAAACTGCACCAGCTATGCGTTTCCGCTAATGAGTTACAAGAAAAAGATCTATGGCTAAAACTGGGGTGATCTCTGTTGACTACCTCAGCTTACAACCACCTCTGATTCATTTACCTCTGATGCACATGTGCTGACTCAAAATCATTCAAAGTAACCCCCCCCCCCCCCCTCCCCAACTCTCTCTGTAAAACGTAACCCACATTTATTTCTCCTGCCACACAGCAGAAAATCTCATCTGGTTTTCCTTTATGGAGGATGAAATGCTCAAGAAAAAGGAACGAGCGCTCCCAGTCCTTTGGCTCCCACACTTGCAAGTGCTTCTATGAATGATTGTGGGGAGTTAAGGGGTGTTGGCAGGCTGCCTATCAGTGCAGCTGCTGAATACTGCAGAGATGGGAGACTGAAGAGTGGATTAAACAGGGTCAGATGTTGAAATTTAGGCTGTAAACCATCACAAATTACTGATTACCTGCTCCAGGGTGTAATCTCAGGATCAAGACTAGGTTACAAGCTGGTGATGAGTGAATGAAAATAAACATTTTTATTCATAGGCCTTCAAAAAGCATTGTTTCCAAGGGACCCGTTTTATGGGGAAATAAACAATCAATGATACTTCAAGTACCTTCAGAAGGTAATTCAATTACCATATATTATTCAAACTACAACCATTTTTTCTTTGAAAAATACTTCACACTTCATATCACATTGATACAGATAGAATCTTGTTATTGTGCAAGAATATATTGATGAAGGGGTCTGCAAGTTACTGCTGTGCACAGATGCACCAACATGACACAAATAATTTGAAGTGTCCATGAGTTCTGAATCAAAGTCTAACAATGTTGATATCAAGCTGTTGGTGTCGAAATAAAAAATAAAAAGTAACAACAATAGAAATAATAATTCTGATTCTTATAGGGTCAATTAGAATTTGATATCTACCATAACTGACTGAATTCCAGAACCTTTTGATTTGTTATTCTCTACCTATATATTTTTGTTTTTTGTGCTTGAATTACATTTCAAATTAACACAGTTCCAAACTATCATTTTACTGTCATGTAGGAAACATGATAGACATGTGATTAAAGTTCTACATTGGATCCTGACTTACATGATGTTCCTCAGGCTCACACCCTCCACCCAAACATTGTTAGAGGTTAAGCACGGTGTCCATGGCAACTCGAATCACCAACAGGGGGGCTGTCTCCCCAGCAGCAGCCCATATTGGAAAAATTGCGCAGGTGGAACACAAAAGACTAGATCCGAACTGGAGCTTCTGTGGGATGCACCAGAGCAGTCCCAATCCACACACACCACACCCCACACCCCACACTTCACCTCATACAAACAGAGCGCCTCCAGCATTTCAGAGCCAGGACACCACAGGACACCCACAAGGGTTGTGTCCCAACCAGTCAGAGTTGTGTTGAAAGAAAACATTAATATTTCTTACTTTCAGCATTTGATATTCTGCCCTTGTATTGTTTTCACGTTATAATAACAAGTTGATAATTTGGAAACACTTGCATTTTGTCGATCATTTCCATTTAATGGAGCATCTGAGCGTTTTGGACAGTTGGATGTATATGAAAATAGTTTTTATCTTTGCACACACACCAAGACTCGCGAGAGATATCTACACAGCCCCATTCCAACAGGTGTCAGACGGGATTGGCTGCAGTGCGTATCACCAGCCCCTGCACACATTTCTCACAGGAGTCACACACACAGTGTTGCGTTCACTGCTCCCGCGGTCTCACTCCCCTGAGGAACTCACTGGGATCATTGCGACTTTCATTGAAGTCTGCAGTTGCCAAGGCAAACCGCAGCCTATTCAAGACGGTCACATGACTTCTTTGGGAGTCAAAATGGTCCGCGGGGGTCAGTGGGCAGAGAGAGAGAGCAGCAGACCCAGTGTATGTGTAAGACTGTGAGGGGGGGCTGATTGTAGTCGGCTTTCAGAGTGGGGAAAAAAAGAAAATGACTTGCCGGGAGAGAGGACTTGAGTTGAAGACATTTAGCGCGCCTGGGCACTGCGCTTGGAAATGAATGAAGACTTTCGCTGGCAATCTGAAGAAGCCTGCATCTGAATATCTTTGATGCTTCCCTCACTTCTAAACGACTGCGACTTTTTATTTTTTTTTAAGTCAAACTGCTCGAAGGTCCCTGTGTTTTTGTTTACGCTTCATCACTGCAAAAGGTGATCCGAAGATATGACTTTGTTGCGCTTTTCTTGTGCAGAGGGGAGAAACTGGATGCGTGCCTTGGTCTTTTTCCTCTCCTGCATTTTCACACAGAGCACAGTAAGTTTGCAGTAGACTACCACTCAGTTGGTAGCACCATTAGATAATGATCGACCATCTGTAAGGAATTATTTCCATACATTGATGGTACTTTAAATAATTCCCATTTGCATGTCCTTGTTTACAGAGCGCACTTTTGAATAACTTTGCTGAAAGTCCTGAATATCGTGGCGCTTCGGTTCTGCTTCAATCCCTCAGTCTACCTCAACACACAGGTACGCGAATTACGTGCTGTGCTCAGAATCTTGCATATTTTACTGTGATGGAATATTTCTATGTGATAGAGTTCATTGATATTCGCGGCTTTATCGTCAAGATTTTGTCCACGTTACACGAGAGGAAAGACTTTCCACCGTGTCTCTGCATGCATCCCTGAAACGCTCTGCAGCACCGACTCTCACCTGCACAGTGCGCTACCTCTCTTCACCGCTAGGGGGAGACCCACAACCTGACACCAAACAGCCAGCGTCTGTTGCTGCAGTTCATCTCTTAGATTTACCGAGAGCAGAATAAGATATCATAGATTTTGAAAAGTTATAGCACCGTTTTTGACTATGTTATATCACTGTTTTATATTATTATTATCATTCATTAGAGAAGTCATAACAAAAGTAAGTTTGCAGCAAATTGCTAACATGAGCAATACAATTTATAATAACTAAATAAATGTGTAGTTTCTTTTTTGTTTGTTTGTTTTTTACTTTGACTTATGTGTTATTCTTCTTTAGATAGTGTTAGTCAGGTTAGCCATTCATTAGTGCAAACCAGCAGTTAAGTGAGTGCAAGGTTTTCCTCCATTCTTTTGTTTTGGATCCATGTGCTGAGTCATCTATTTCTTGAGTTGTTTCTTCTCCGCTCCCCTTTTTAAAACCAGACAACCATACTTCAACATAAAAAATAACAATGAAACTCTTATCCATTAGTGAATGTGCATATAATCTGAAGAAGTGAACACTAAGCCCCGACTTTCAGGCCACCCCTCAGATTGCTGTTTGTTAACTCAGTGTGGTCACATTATGCTGGAAGATTTGTCCTACATTCAGTCCTTTTTTCTTTTTTTTGCTGCAGAGGAGAATTTGATTAATGTGTTCTATTCTAAGTTTACTACAAACTTGAGAGCCCAGGTTTGTAGTAATTGTGTTAATGGAACTTTGGAGCCACTAAATCAACAAACTAACAACAGCAGGATCTTGTCTCAGTTCATCAGACACACAAAACCTTCTGTAAGTGTGTGTATTGGTGTGCTCAGTTCTCGCACAGTCTTTGTTTGTATACTGTCCGACATGGGTCACTGCAGCTGTTTTTTTAGTTAGGTTAGAGCAGGACAGTTAACCAGACAGAAGTGTGTGTGTCTGTCGGGGGCAGGGCAAAGCAGCAAAGATAGTGAGGACCTTTTTTTGGTTTCCACTAAGTGCTTTACTGCCTGTCCAGAAAATGCTTTCAACCTGATGTATGTGTTTGCTGTCTAACTCTAAGACACATTGCACCGTTCACACTTCAGTGGTTGGAGGTTGTCTGTCTACTGTGGCAGTCCACTTTTAAAAAACACATGCGGTCATTGTATAGAAGATCTTTTTTAAATAGGTGCATCTGTTAATGAGGATGTGTCATGTTGGGAGTAGGGGCTTTAAGTCAGTCTCAAGGTGCACCACATGACCAAGCTCAAACCCCAGGCATTTACAATGCCACTGATGACACACTGTCTGCCAGCCCGGGTGATTTTCCCTGGTCTATATTTATTCATTATTAAAGTAAGTCAGACTTTACAGTAGGCATAGTTAGAGCAGTCATCATTTCTCAAAATATGCTATTATTTCTATACCCTCCAGTCATAAAAAAGTATACATCATTTTCCCAATGGAATGCAAGTATTTTATTATAAATACTGTTCCGTTTAAACACAATCATATCATGTTTGATGGCTACCGGTGCAAGTGAATGTGACCTATTTGTATATAATCATCCAGAAATAACTTTATATTTTGAGGATGGCAAAATGAACATTTTGACACATATAATGTGAGATGCATCCATTCTGACAAGAAATAACCTACTACTGTTGCAAAGCTTGATCTGAAATAAAACGCAAAGTCCAACATAAATCTCTCCACTGAAAGCCCTGCGTTGGAATGGTCACGAAACCCTTTCTAGACCTTTTCTTGCCCTCCCAGATCAAAAGAAGAGGAGCTGTTTGAAAGCTGTTTTTTTGCCTTTTCTTTCTGAATGTGATGCAACCAAATAACAACTAACACTTTGTGCAGCGTATTGCAGTAAATTATGTTGACACGTCAGATTAGTTTTTAATAAGTTGTATCCACAGGATGTGGTATATGACATCTCAGGTCACGGCTTTCTGTGAGCAGTGCTTCATTCCCAGGATATAACCCAATAAAACAGCAATAATACAGATAATATAGTTGGGCTTAACAGTTTTTTTTATAACTTTCAGAATCTTCTATATTTCTCCAAATATAACTTACATTATCAGATCATGTCACAGCGGTCCAGTCAAAGAAGTTCAGCTGGAAAGTCTTACACACTTTAACCAATATTCAAGTGGAAACAAGAAAAAAAAAACTTAGAAACTTCTATTTGTCTTTAAGAAGATATTTTCCTCTAAAATGGCTGCTTTTGTGTGTGGGTGTTCTGATTGCATTCTAAGTAGGTGTTCAATCAATAATATTTTCTTTCCTTTTTTGATGTCTTTTTTCTTTGTGTCCTTTCCAGAATATGAGATTGTAACACCATATGAGGTGAACCATCAAGGCGTGTACATCTCTCATGAAGTAGCACACCAGCACAGAAGGCAGCGTCGGTCCTTGACCGCAGATGACCGCTCACCGGACTCAGGCAGTGAAACAATCCACTTCCGGCTGAGTGGTTTGGGGCAAGACTTCCACATGGAGCTGAGGGCGGCTTCAGAGGGCCTGATTGCACCTGGTTTCACCATCCAGGTCCTGGGAAAGAACGGCACCAAGAGCCTGAGGGCCTACCACCAGGATGACCTCTGCTTTTACCAGGGGTCACTGAGGTCCAGGGTCAACTCTTCAGTGGCACTGTCCACATGCGTGGGGATGGTGAGTCTGAACATGCACAGAGTCAGGTTGCAGAAGGTGTAAGACGAGTTGAAGGGGGTAGATAAATCCAATCTGAGTTGGTGTGGGTGTTTGTATCAGTCACTACTTTCGAGTTCCTCCAGAGGAAAGTAAGCCTCTTGGAGATTCTTTTTGTTTCAGTCTTGGCAGCCTGTGGATTGATCTGCGAGTGCTGAAATTACACTCTCTTAGAGGACACAGTGAGTCTCGGGGCCAAAGAAATCTGGCTCATCCCGAGACTTCTGATAATATAAACACTGGGTGTCCGGGTTCTTGTCAAGCCGAAACCCAGGGAATAGAGAGAGAGAGGTCAATGACCCTTTCAGGATTTTAACAAAAAGATTTGAAACTGTAAATCAACTCTAAGACAGATAAAATCAGTCCAGACACAGAGTAAAGGCAAACCCTTTAAGGGGAAAAAGATAAAAGAAGAGAAAATACATATGAGCCAGCAAAAAGACCTGAAGAAAACTGCAGCTCTTTTATATTTGGACTGGATCTTGCCTTTGACAAATCATGATTGTCATCACTTAGTTGTGTCTTGGCCTTTGTGAGAGTGCCATTTACACAGGACATGAACGAGAGCATTGTCTGTCATGTGTGGTCAGACATGGTATTTATAACTTTGACTTTTTGAGACTTGAAATCCCACTGAGCATTCTGGCTAGTCACTTGCAAGCTTATTCTTCCAGGGATTTCACCATTAGTCCAAACACTAACCGTTCATATTGTGCTTTTACTGAAATCTGTGAAAAAGTCACTAACGAGAGGAAAAGTTCGGCATGTGAACACCACATGATGTTTGGCGTGCAAGCCAGGAAAATGCACAAAAGACAAGCCCATTTATATAATTTCCCTTTGGCATATTTATTTTCTCCTTTTAATTTTTATTGCAGCTTAAGTGTAATCGTAAGCTAACACATGGAGTTCCGACAGATGTAAATCTGTGTCTGGGTGTGGGTTTTAGACGTTTGATTTTCAAGAAAATCGTCGTACAAATGGGTCATTCCTTCAAAATTGGAGTGGGCGGTGTTAGAAAAAGAGAGTCTGTGAGTATCTTTGTTGCGGTGCTTCCTATCACATCCATTCCCTTCCTGGAGAAATTAGTGTTAAGACTGGTTAGCAGACACATTCTTAATGCATCCTCTTGTTAGTTCAATTGTGGAGAAAGCTGGCTAAATTTCAGTTTTCCCTTTGGTGGTCCTCCTCTGGTGCAAGAGCATAAAGAAAACATTAGTGAAAGAATGACATTAAGTAAGCTGAACCGAGACAGCTCTACTTTAAGACCCTCAAATGTTATTACAGCACCATAAGCTGACTGGTCAAGTGAAACAAAGACTTTATAGAGACAGACACAATCACATACACATACATGTGGTTCAGTTGCAAAAGTGGGTTGGTGACTCAATCCCCAGCCACTCCAGGTGATGAGAGACAATGCCCCTGTTATTCAAAACATTTTTAAGTTGCTCTGTAGGAATTAGGTAAGGCTAAATACGCTTTGTGAGTAAATCGTTTCATCGGATACTTTTATCTGGATACCTTCTTCTGTTTTTCAGTTCAATAAATGCCTGGCTCACTGGTTTGCCGTACATATTTGTATCGTATCACTGTTTCTGAGAACTGCCCTGTAGAACTATAGACAGGGAATGGCATGTCTCTGGGGAAGGTTCTTCTGTGAGTTTGTGTATCTGTGTGTGTTCAGACAAGTTTCCAAAAAGCCAAAAAGGTCCGGGGTTGCAGACTGTTAATATGGTTCTCACGGCTGATGCTGGCTCAGATGGACCGGGACATTGCATCTACGGGAATTTGACTTTTTCTTATGTGAATTGGTGGACTGCAAAGTTATATCAAACTCCTGGGGAAAGATAAAGATAGTTGCTATTTATAAAAAATGCCCAAATTCCTATCTCAGAGAGCATGTACCAACATATGTTTTTTTTGTTTTGTTTTTTTCTGGACCATCTGAAGGCTTTTGGGAGATGTTAGCATTCTGCTAATTTGCTATTTGACGAGGAGTCCACCCTCTGCAGCATGAGATAGCTGAGATGAAACATCTTCATCACTACTGTTAATTCCACTACTGTAGCTTATTAATGTGACCTTATTCAATTCTATGCTATTACATAGCTGATTTTGGGGGTCTCTGAGATAAGCTTTGCTTTCAATGGATATTAAGACAAAGAAAGTTCTGCAAGAAAGAGAATGATGTAAAGATGAAAGTTGGAAGGGTTTGTACTCCCTCCTTACCATTTTGAAGTGCTGAAAACCCCCTTGTAAGGAGTGTGATGTTGTAAAGAATAAGATGCTTTTTCAACTCTCTGCTCCTGGCAGCTCATGCAGTGGTTACCCCAACTTTGATGACAGCTGGGAGATCAACCATAAAAAAATCCCTCACTTACAAGCAAGGAATTGGTGGAATAAAAGTGGCAGGCCAGTTCCATTAACTGTGTTATTCACCTGCCAAATGGTTTCATACTCTGGACAGTCACACACATGTGGAAGGAGAGATCATAAAACAGTTCCTCCTCTGTGTCGACTTTATGCTCCTACATAATACGCTAGTCTGGTATTTATGTGGCTGAGGGTGTTGCAGGGTTAGTGGAGCACTGCAGACATTGTTTCAGTCTCGTACCATGAATCATTATTCCCCCACCACTAAGGTATCTTGCATGAATTTTATCTTTGTTCAAAGCGTGACTGAAGGGTAATATATTACTTATAGATAAAGTATATCACGTTTGATGTTGCCAGTAATCATATATATATATATATATATATATATATATATAGAGAGAGAGAGAGAGAAACAGAGAGAGAGAGATATTCATTAAATATGTAATTTATCTGTATTTTCATCTAGATGTCTTTAAATCTATAAATCTTTCATTTTAATTTGTTGCAAAAGTCAACTTTTGCATTGAATGACTTGCTGAATTCTCTGGGACTAAAAATCAGATGCAGGGCATGTGTTTTCCTCTTGTAAATGGATGGGTGTTTACCTCGCCTCGGGCATAGTAGTTGTAGTAATAATTGAATGTTTCTGGGATTTCCAGAAACATATGAGGGATAGTCTCAGATAGACTCTGATGTATTTGAGCTTTGAAAAACGCACAGTGTGGTCTCATCAGGTTGCTGTCATCACATTTTAGCATGGGAAGCATCAGATGATCCCAAAATATTGTTATCAAGTTGTATAATCAATTATTGCTTCCTCAATCACACAATATATATTAGGCCTTTAGTACAAAACTGGTGACATTAAGTCAGTTTTGAGTTTCTTTTTTTGCTAACAGAAGGGAGCATGGATATTTTGTACATATTTATTTAATTCTTTTAAATGTCAAGTTTTCAAATTATCCAGTTGAACCCCCTACATTCTGCCAAAGAAGGAGTCATACTCACAGTTTGTGAAACAAGCTCATTGAATATTCCATTCAATGTGGACGTCTGCTTTATCTGATGAAGGGTCACAGGGGAGCCTGAGCCTGTCATAGACAGGTCACTTGTCCATCACAGGGCCACAGATTTATGAGACAACCATGCACACTCACATTCGATCCTAAGGTCAATTCAGAGTCACCAATCCAACTAACAATTATGCACAGGCAGAATGAGCAAACTCCAGGTACCACAGTGCAGTTTTTTGCTACATTTTGGACAACTACAGGGACTTTTTTGGATATCTTAAGGACTTTAGGGTTTGAGTTACAGTTTAGGGTTAGGGTTAGATTTTCTTTTTCCTAAGAAAACTTTTTAAATTTTAAGGAAAACAGAGTGTTTTTCCTCTATCTGTTTAAGTGGAAGCATGAGTAAAAGAAAAAAAACTACTCACATTCAGATTAACCTTGTAATGCACTGAATACTCCCCCCCTTCATTTTTTACCTGCCCACCCCAATTCCTGTTGCTGCTTGTCTGGATGAGTCTTGACTCCAGAGAGTCCAGCTGTTTGCGCCCTCCCAAGTAGTGTTTCAGACTTTTATGACTGCTATTTGCACCTCGTACAGCACAGTGTGTAATCTGATGACTTTGGCTATTTAGGAAAGGCACTAGTGCGACCTAATCTCCTAGCATAGTGGTCTGTATATATGCACCAAACTGAAAACAAAAATGCATGTTTTTTCTGTGTTCAGTAAAAATGAAGACTGTGCAGAAACTTGCAGGCTAAAAACTTTTTTAGTCTGTAGATTTTTTTTTATTCATATGCATTTCAAATGCATTTTAGACCGGTCAGTGACCAAGAAGCTATCAGAGGAAATATAGCCATGGGAGCTATAAAGAGTTATAAAAAAATACATACTGCCAATACTGTCACTTTTTCCTTAGTGCAGCTTAGAATTGGAGCCTCATCAAAGTTGGTGATTATCTACACGCCCATGTCTAAAACTAAATGTGTAGCAAGTAACATACACCAGCATTGTAAAGATAGACCAGTGTCAATCAACAAATTGTGGAATTTAAGACACGCACGTGGTCCTGAAAGGGAAGGGCAATAAGCAGCGGTCAGAGAGTGAACCCTGTCACTTGGAGTTGTAATCATAATGATGTTAATGCTTACTGACATGTCCCATGTGGAATATTGTAGACTTTTACAAGGGTTGCAGTACTTAAATGCAATCCCGTGAATGCATAGTCATGCTGCTTTTACTGTAATTAGCACAGCTCTGTTGTCTCACTGAATATCCTCCAGACTCCTGAAAAAAAAAATCTCAGTATATTCCAGTCTGTAACTGCACAGTTTAGCTCACAGGCTGAATGTTTGAGTTAGCTGACCAAAGATAACTTTGCAACCTGGTTTTCTTCCCTTCCCTGTCTCAAAAGGTATTAAGCGTTCCCCATCCCCCACTCCCAACCACCCACCCAGAAAGGATAAATACTTAGCATGTGAAGATTTCAAAGCTGACAGCAGCACAGCTCAGGTCAGAGGCCTTGCCATGACTTGGAGCCAAATGTTGACAATTTACAATTACACAGCAGCGGGGCGGGGGCCATGTGGAATCATGCACCAGTTGTCACATGTGATTTTAAGTAACGACCCTGGCTGGGGTGTTTATTGATTGTTGGTAGGCCAGTGCCAGCTGTGAGTAGCAATGCATTACAAATCCTCCCTTTAATATCTCATTTCTTTGTTTTTCCTGACAATTGATCTTCCACCCTCTTTTTTTATCCCCAAAACCTAAATGGAGTCAGTCATCGCTGTCTTATGCTGTTGGACAGTGAGGAAAATTCCAGCTGGAATTTCATTGTAAAAGCATGTATCCATTCATTCATGTAAGTAAGTGTGTTTGTGTTTTTTAAAGCCCCTGAAAAGATTGTTTTCTTCTCAGTAAGTGCTGAGTAGAAGTGTGTTTCCGGCTGTAAATATGTCTCCAAATATGTTTATGTGTCACTGTTTGTCGTTATCTTTTGTCTGAAGCACCAGTTAGTGCATGGTGGGAATGATCATTATCCAACACAGAAACACCTGTAAACAACTGCTCTAACCAGTGCTAAACACATGGAACTCTGCTATTAGATTAGACTAACTATTTTTCCAGATGAACACACTGGGAGTATGCCCAAGCCATTTAGATTTGCATGTTATTTCTAAACCTACACAATGCAAGTTGAAGATGTTGATATTTTAGCCGAGGTTTGCTGCTTTAGAACCAGTTGTGGACGGGACTGCCTGTATAACAATGGCTGTGAACCCCACGGCCATTGCAGTCAGATTAAATAATCTGTAATGACTTGCATTCATCTTTACTTGGTTTGTGACTATTTAAAAATGTAATGTTCAACACACTCCCACTTTTCCACTTACACTGATCTCGTATGTTGGTGAGGTCAAGGCCCATCTTTGTGACTGACGATGATGTGAATAAAATCTGCACTTAGAACCCTTCTTCCAACGTGCATTCTTCCACACACAAACATGCTGAGCCATTTACACCCCACTGACAGTCTGGTTCAGTCTTTCTCTGGCTGTGGTGACAAAAGGCTGCACACTCTACTCACAGTGGAAGAAAAAGGAAGAGAGAGGGAGAGGACTGCAGTCAATTAAACATATTTTAGGGAAATACCAGCAATTGCCAATTGCAGTGAAAGTCCAGACTTTCCCTGCCAGCTGCCTGTCAACACAGATGTGGTGCCTTTTCAGTAACCGAGAGAGACAAAGAGAAAGGCAGAGTGAAAAGGAAAATAACTTTAAAATATGGCTCCACTGATATGTTATTCAATGTGGGATATAAAACCAGAAAATGTTATTTTTTTCTCTCTTTTAGACACAGACAGACAGAAATAGTCTGTTTTATATCATAAAAACAGAGTGAGGATCTGTGCCACATGTTCTACTCAACATTAAGTGGTGAAATGGGCTTTTCCTAAAGCTATATCCTAAACTTAAGCATGTATTGACTGGTACTTAAAGTGGGCACTTTGTGTCACATGGCAGAAATTTGTGCATTTTTAAAAGAGAAAGAAAGCAGAATTGAATATTTTTCTAAGATGTTTTAGCTGTATTTATATGTAACACAATCTGACAATGGTTAATTACTCTGAAACCCTACTAGTGTCTTTTGGTTAAAAACTCTTCTGTCTGACCCAGGCCGATTTAGATGAGCTGATAATGGCTGACCCTGAACTGCAAAACAGATGTTTGGAGTGAAGAAATATAGCTAATAATTGAGCTGCGCAGAGTTTTAGAGGGGTCAGGATTGTAGTGACCAAGGGTCAGATTTTGACTAATAGCTGACAGGTTAGGAAGCTCAACGAGTAACTGAAGCATTAATGGTTTCTTTGCTTTTATGTGACTAGAGTCCCCAGGGCTCAACGTGAATAAAGAGAGCAGGACACAACTGTTGCAACAAAACAATTAGTCCAGCATTTCTGTTTATTTTTTATAATCATAGGACACTTTAATGTGAGTGCTAATGCGCATTTGTTCAGGATGACTAAGTAAAGGGGAGCACACCAAAGTTAATTGCACTTTTCCTTTTGCTTCTAGTCAGGTTTGATTCGAACACAGGACGCAGACTTCTTCCTCAGACCGGTGTCCCGCAGCCTTGCACAGAGGGAGAACTTCACGGCACCCGACAGTCACCAACCTCACATCCTCTACAAGAGCAGTGGTAGAGAGTCCTGGAAAGCGCAGAGGCATCCTGAGTCCCACGTGCTCCTGAAGAGATCCACAGATTACTCTCATCACAAATCAATGGGAGGCTTGCCTTCAAAGACGGACTCCGTCGACAGAGAAGAAAATCAACTCTTTCGAAACCAGCAAAGTTGCATCCAGGGCTATCACCATGGCAACAGTAGTAGCAGAATTCAAGATGAGCGGCTGAAGCATCGTGGAACCGGCCACCATCAGAGTGATTACAGACATGGGGAGAGGCAGAGGCAACACTTCTGTGGGAGAAGGAAGAAATGTATGTAAGGGCAATTTCTCATTCTAATCCCCCAAATTCCTCTCCGTGTTTGAATATTTTAAACATTTCCCTGAGTTATTGCTTTCTCTACTAAATAGAGTAAACAATGAGAAGGAGGGCAAGAAGAGAAACATTGCACATGGAAGAAAAACATTGCTTTAGCCTTCTGTTGTCTTTTTTGTCATTAACTTCGAGTCACATAGATTCCCCAACTTGATTAGGTTATGAATGTGTTTTATTTTCTAAGCTGTTAAATAGTCATTTTTGGTTTTTTCCAACCTCCCAAACGACAACTCTTTGGTAAGGATATTTCCACTTAAACCCGCTTCTCATCTTACCATAATATTTTCAAATGTGCTCCAGTTTTCGAACACAGCTCTGTTATTTTCCTGACATTAAATTAAACCTAAACAATGTGATCGTGAATTATAACACAATTTATAGGTTCTCACGCAAAAAGGGAAATGACATTTGTTGACATTTCTGGTTAACTCTGTTAGCAGGCAGTTACACAAAGGTTGTGGTTGCTTGGTGCAAAGGGAACATCAAAATGCACCAGAGACAAAAGATGGTCCCAAATTCTTTGTATTGCCCTGTAAGAGCGTTAGTGCCATCACAAACATCCTCTCTGTGGTTGTGTAGTTATGACAAAAGCATCATACAGTATTAGTGGTTGAAGAGTGTGTGTTGACTTGCAGTTGTTCACACATCATTAGCGCCTTTTGTGATAAAGTGTTTTCCTTCCTTTGCTGAGTCCTCAAACTCTGACCTGTGAATTTTATTATGCAAGTATTTGAACTTTTTTTCTTAAACTCACAATAACATTTAAATGTTTGTGTTACTTTCTTAGTAGACTTTTCTAAGAAAATGAACTATTCTGAGTCAACTATATCAATATAAAGAATACCTTCTTAAATTACATTGACAGTTTTGGTGGATTCCATTAGTGACTTAACCCTGTGAAAGGTTAAGGGGGAATTATTTATATTCACTTTACACTCTGTAAGAAATTACCGCAAGATCATTTAACACTGCCAGTGAGTCAGGGGTCATTTGGAAGAGAGCAGGCTGGGATAGGGCTGGTACCACTATTGCCCTGGAGAGCCCCAGCTGTCTGGCCCTTGTGAAAACACACTGCTGTTTACATTTCCATAAGATGACATCACTGAACACCTGTGCAGCGTTTTGGTCCAAAAGGCACTTTGGTCACTCACCTGCTTCTGCCTATATAAGCAAACTTCCTTCCTGTGTAGTTTATCTCCAAGCATTTTTACTAATCTGGAAACATGCAGGGGCAGATTTTGGGCAATGATGTGGGAAAAAATGGATTGTGTGTTGTCGATGTAATTTGAGATGGTGTTCTTCATATTAATATAGCTGACTCAGTATACAGGCATGAAGGTAAGAGGGTGTCTCTCTCTTTGTGTGCACACAATCTTCTACAGGAGCTCAAATCTATGTCTCTGAGTGACATGCAGTCTAATAAATCTCGTGTATTGTTGATCATGTTGCTTTAAGACAAATTCAATTTGATATATTATCTACACTTAAATCATTTGGGAGACTTTTTCTACGAGAAGTTGACATTCATATTTTCAATTTCTCATAATGAGTGAAAGAAAATCCATTGGTTGTTTTTGTTCCACATTTATTGCATTAAGAAAGAGAAAAGATTTTTATCTAACCATCTTTTATGGTTGCATTGTGTCCTATATTACTGAATGAAATGTAACTTTCTCAATGCTGGCATAATGGTACAACTCCCACAGTCAGCAACAGAGAAAAAAGGAAAAGAATAAAGCTCGGGGTGCAGTTTATTATTATATCAGGTCACAGAATTGAGGGGCTAGTTAATCATTCAGAATAGTTGTCAGCCCTTTGCCAGAAACACACAAGCAAAAGTAACAATCTGTCTCAGGGTTATGAGTCAGTTTTACAATTTTTGTACCATACATAGTCAGCTGTGGGAAGGAAGGGTTGTCAATGAAACAAACTCCTAATGTAGGTTTACCAGTCATATATAAACCTCTTTAAAGAAGCATAGCATCAGCATCATCTGAGGTCAAAGTGCCATGTATAAAGCTTCAGTCAGAGAAAGAAATGCCGTGATTTTAACTATTTCTTTTGCTTTCAATTATGTTTACAGATATGCCCAAACCTCCAGGGGAGGATGTTTTTATCCTCCCAGGTGAGTACAAGTTTATCCCCAGGAACAAACGGGCCGTGCTGCAGAAGAATCGGGACGGTCAGAAGCTCAATGTGGAGACACTGGTGGTGGTGGACAGAAAGATGATGGATAACCACGGTCACAAAAACATCACCACATATGTACTTACAGTCCTTAATATGGTAAGAGTGGTTTATTTGTTAACATATCCATTTCTATTAACAGATTATGATGTTTTTAACCCTAATATGAATGTTTGCTGTAAATTAAACTGAAGCTTAGTGTAGGAAAGAAAAAGAAAAAACAAAATAACACAGATCCCAGTGTTCCCATTTGGAATCATCTTACATCCCATTTTCTAAATCAGACAGGAGCCAATAAACCATGTCCTATAATTTGTATAGGACAGGACAGGTCATTCTCATGTTTAACGACTGTCAGTTTTTTGTTATCTTACTACTGCTGAGCCTTGCAATGATCGTTCTGTGACCATATTGTCAGTGAGGACGGAAAACATGTCGCTAATCCAAGATTTTAGAAACATGTGAGCAGCATGAAATTCCATAAGTTGTTAAATGTTAAGACATAAGATCCTAACAATGGATAAACTATCCATGTTTCACGGTCATTTAGATATTGAGTTAGATTTTTTGGCTAAGGGGCTGTCATACGCTTGTTGTTCCTATTTGGGCTCATCAGCTCCAGAGTTCCCACATGTTTTGCCGTTACACAAATGTAACATCAGCCTACCATGCAGTGCATTTGAGATGTGCCACAGCTCTGGGTTTAGCAACTCTATCCCCTTGTCCTCCAGACTAAACTATCAAAAAGAGCTTGTCTTAAAACAAGAAACTGATCCGTGAGTGAGATCATTGGTGCCACACGGACAGTGTGCCCCTGCTGCTCTCAGCTGATGTGCAGACGGATTCCATCATGGCTGTGTTGCTACTTATTGACTGACTGACAAATCCAGAGATAATCCATCTATTTTGAAAACGCTGTTCCCTCAAGTAGAACCCCAGTGAAAGAAGTCAAACTCCATCTTAGAAGGGTCACCAAAATACAATATAGGTTTTCACAGAAAAGAGTCCATCTCCATGAATGTTAAAAAGGTATTTTGTCATTGGATGATCCTTCCGAGTGTTTGTATAGATTTATCCCATGATAAACATTTACAAAAAAAACAAACAAAAACAAATGAAGAAGTTTTTGTGACTGTCCGATTTATTAAGTGATACAATGTGCTATTTCCTCTGAAACAGTGAAGCACCATGGAAACTGACTGTTTCCTTTATGCAGCAGTGAAAACACGATGAATCACTGGACCGCTTTTGATCAGAACAGGATGAGAAAATCCGACACTCTGTCAAACTTTGTGGCTCTGGGATTCTGTGGTTCCAGATGGATGCTTTGATTGTTTCTCTTGACCTCAAAATTTTCTTGAGTTTGTTAACAAATCACAGCAGCATGTCTTTTCATGACTCAGTGCCTAAGAAGACCGAACATGTGGAGCAGAAGGAATGAATGAGTATGAGAGAGGACACTTGATTTTAGAGTGGTACCTGATCTTTTCACACGGCCTGAGAGAGAGACAGATAGCAAACGTGAACAAAAGCTCACGGGTCTACTTTCATAGACTGAAATGTTGTGACTTATCAGATGTCTGAAGTAGAAGCTGAATTGAAAACAGCGGTTGTGGTTGTTAGACCTCTGATACCATCAAAAGTCTGTGTTTGTGTGTCTGTGTGTGTGTCTTTTTCTTAGAGATGTCAAGCTGTGTCACTAAATACATATAAGATTGACCTTTCTTGTTTAAAGGTTGCAGTACAACAGTACGACTTTAATGCAAAAAGGCTTGAGTGATTTGACAATGATAAATTAAAGTAGTGGGATTTTTGTCACCAGAAGCATGGTGTAAAGTGAAAACAGTTTAAAGCTGCTACAGTCTTTATGGGTACAGTGGAAACAAGTTTCACTCCTCTAATCCCGCTATGTTTGAGGGCAGATTTCCCTCTAATAACCTCTGACAAAGCTGCTGCAAAGCAGATTCTTAAGAGCGAAATATCCAAAAATAATTCACAATTGCTCCTTTTTTTCTATGTATGTATTGAATAAGTGTCTCCTGTTGGCAAATGAAATTACTGTAAAATGGAAATGTAATAATGCTCACAGGTGTACTGTCTTCTGAAGGTTTCCAGTCTGTTCAAAGACGGCACAATAGGAGGGAATATCAATATCGTTATAGTGGGACTTGTACTTTTGGATGAAGAGCAGGTGAGCACCTAAAATCTTAAATCTCATAAACTAACTTTGTATTCCCTTCATGATCCTTCAGAGACACATAAAAAGCTAAATATGTGGAATTTCTCTTAGTGTTTTCATGTCTGAGTACTATGATATTAGCTCTTCTAGAAGGTAGGCACAAGGAAACCTAACTACTAAATACATTCACAGTAAAGTGTGGTTTCCTTGATTTCCTTGGATCCTTCTCATTCTTTTTGAGTGGAATAGCTGGAAAGACAGTTTAACCAAACAGCTTGAAACTGTGAGAAACAGACATTATGGGCAACTACTGTTGTTTTCTATTTAATTAAGATGTGGAGAGATGTTGAGAGTCGACAATTAATTTCCAGCTTGACAAAGCTCTGTCCTGTTTTTGAAGAGGATGACACTCGTTCCTTTGTTTTACTTCAGGAACTTCAAATGTGGTCATTATTTAGCTAATAGCACTGAAATGTAGATGTGATAAATTATTTTAACAAACTGTAAAGATCAGATAAAGACTCTGAAATTTGATAATAAGTAAGATGGGAATGTCATTTAGATTTTGCTCTTTGGTTTTTTAATATTAGCTCACTTTCATGTCACAGGATGGCTTGGTAATCAACCACCATGCGGATCACACACTAAACAGCTTCTGCCACTGGCAGTCAACCCTTGGAGACAGAGAAAGCCGACACCATGACCATGCCATCCTCCTCACAGGACTTGACATTTGCTCTTGGAAGAATGAACCCTGTGATACTCTTGGTAAGTCTTTATTTGCCCTTTTTATTGCCAAAATGGCTTAAACTTCACAGTGATGAAATCCTTCAACATATTAGAATCTGCAGTTCCAAGACCTTTAGTCCCAGGAGATCCACAGATCTGAAACAAAAGAAGTTAAACTAATGACAAATTACACACTTAGCCAATTACAGAACATCTTTAATGTCATGTAATTAGCATGAAATATGACAAAAGCTTTTAAATATTTCTGTATTTTGGAGCATTTGAGGCTCTATTCTTTTAAGATTTGTCCAAACCTGAAGGTTTTTTGGTCCTTTAACATTCTTTTCCCCAAGAACTGTAGTGGAGCAAATTGACAACATGCTACACACAGTGAAAGCAGCCAATCAGGGATCACGGTAACGTGGATAACCTCAGATGGCATTAGCAAACCAGATGTTCAAAATATCAACAGGTTTGCTGCTTCTGTATCACAAATTCCACATCACTATGTCATAACATGAAAAATGGAGAGTTTAAGAACAGATGGAAGGTATTTAAGTCGATATCAGCAGAGAAAAGCTAAGACATGTACCATAGTGTCCAACCGTCGCAGACCAACCAAAAGCATGCTGTTTAGTAACTGAATTCATTCAATACTGGACGCTCATTGCCTTTTTTACACACTCACTAATTCTGTTTGTGAGCAACACTTATGAAGAAAACTAATAAGTTACATGTGTTAATTACTTTTGTAACATATTGTTGTGTTCCACTCTGTGAGAAAAATCTTCCATTTTCAGACAGAGACGCAAGCACACACGCGCACACATGCACACTCCTTCACACACTACCTTCAAACCCCAGATGTAAGTTTTGACTTCAAAGTGTTGAAGCTGGCATTAGCCCTAATCATTACTATAAGCCCTGGTTCAAAGGTGCATGTGGGTCTTTGTGTGTGTGTGTGTGTGTGTGTGTGTGTGTGTGTGTGTGTGTGTGTGTGTGTGTGTGTGTGTGTGCGCACAATCAAAATAGAGTTAGTGCTGACTAATTCCCTAAGGTGCAAAATAACGTGGTTGTTAGTGCAATCTGTCATTATATAGCACAGTTTATTTGCCTTATTCTTACAGCCCTATCCCTTAATGTTTTCAACCATATTTCAAAACCGATATATATGTCCTACCTCATTCCTGACACATAATATGAACTCAATGATGTTTTTCACAGTCAATCTGCCTGGTTATGTTTAATATTATTACTCACATTAGTTATTTACATGGGAACATTCCTTCAGGGGGTTTTGCACTCTGTGGGGGATGACTTAAAGTCATAAATTAGGCTAAACTCTAGGCTAATTTCTCCATGAGACACTAGGACAAAAACCTTAAGGGAGGGCCCCACGTATATTAGTCTGTTTTATTCACAGCCAGGGGTACCTAATGTGTGTGTTTGCTATGGGTAGGCAGAAGGAGAGTGGACAGAGAGAAGCATAAAGGGAGATGATCAGTAAAAAAAAAGGCATATAAGGAAATGAAAGATGTGAGGACAGCTGAAGATTTTTCTAAATTGAAGTATAAGGTAGCAAGGGAATTAAAGAATGTTCCCACAGAGTCCAATATTTCATCAAATGGAGGGATTTCCACTACTTGCTATCTAGTTCTGTATTTGGAATGCTTTACACATGCAGTCCACCGCAGTTAAGCTTGATGTGAGATCTGTTTTCACTTTAGATCATTTGTTAACATTGTAGAGAATTAAGTATTAAGATTACACACGGCTTGGCTGTATTAGTGCTATTTCAGAGCACATTATATCTGTGTTAAACTGTTAAAATGATGGCGCTTGATGTAAAATTTGAAAATATACAACACTGGTTTTGCAGGCTTTGCTCCAATTAGTGGGATGTGCAGCAAATATCGAAGTTGCACTGTCAATGAAGACACTGGCCTTGGTCTGGCTTTCACCATCGCCCATGAATCAGGACACAAGTAGGACATTAACCGATGTTACATAATCTCATGTGTATATATATAGTATAGTATAAATATATACATAGACTATACTAATAAATAAATAAAAGCAAACTCATGCAAGATTCGTGCAAGAGTTTCTATGTTAAAGTTGACATATTTCATTTACTCACATAATGAAACCAATTCAGCTACATTAGCTTATTTTAGTCAGTAAAGGTATGCAACTGTATGTGCCTCATAGGCCAAATACAGGGAAATGTTAACTTAAGGAAAAACCAGACTAGTCAAATAAAAAACTCAATTTAATCTGTATTGTATTCCTATAACTATAAAATAATCCTTTGTGTCCTTTTTCATTCTCCAGTTTTGGTATGGTCCATGATGGTGAAGGAAATATTTGCAAGAAGTCTGAGGGCAACATCATGTCTCCCACATTAGCCGGTCATAATGGTATATTTTCCTGGTCTTCTTGCAGTCGACAGTATCTCAGCCGCTTCCTCAAGTGAGTAAACCTATTTTTTAATACAGCTAGCTTCGTGGTGAAATGAGCAAAGCAAAAATACTAGATTTATGAAGTGCTAATTTTAAATTCTGATATAATGAGTAACATCCCATAGATTCTAAGAACATACTAATTACATCACTTGACCACATGGCACGAACCAATCCTTTTTATGGGCCCATGCTGCAGATATAAACTCTGCATAGGCTTACACATTTAAATAATCCAAACTTAGAAAGCAACTTTGAATAGGCATTCAATTTACAAATATTGTTACACATCATGTCTTACTGACACACATGCATGCGTTGTAGAAAACTGTCAGTATAAGATACATCTGTTACTAACGTTGTTGTGATCCAAATAGTACTAAGTGGGGAGCTGCACTCATGTTGTAGTGCTGAACAAACAGGATAGTTTCATATCTGTGTTTGAAAATCAACTAATTTACAGAGCGACACAAGCATTTCAAGTGGGTTTAGAGGCATGTGGTGCTGCTTTTCTCTTTAAAGTGCTGTTTTACAGAGAGAATACTTATTATGTGTTGAGCCACATGTTGGTGAGCGGTTCAACTGAGAAAATAATGTGTTTGTGCAGGGACGGCTGCATTTCCCAACATAGAGCCTGCTCACCGAAGCGAGAAAACAACTATCTTGACCATAGCGTCCATATGTCTGCTGCTGTTTCTAAGTGCAGTTAATGCATTTTGGATGTGTGTCTATGTCTGTGTGTGTGTGTTTGAAACAAGATAGCCCGGAGTCAGTGCCCTTCACTAAATTTACCAGTGTGCTAACTGAACTGTCAGGTCTTCCATCTCAGAGTGGTGGAGACAGACAGCGCATTTCCTCGCTGAGTTATTAGAGCTAGGATGACCTCAACCTTGTTAGGCCTGTCAACCTTATATTAAAGTCCCATCACCCCTTGAGGCCACATGGAGTGGATATCTGCACCGAATAGCTGTATGTTTCCTTAATTGCAGTCAACAGAATGTTATGACATGTACAGTGCATGTTCTTTTCTCTTTCTCTCTCTCTGAATTAACATGGATCCCTAAATGTTTCCTTTACGTTTTGTGTCAATCACCAAAATTCAATCTACACTTATTCTACACTTTATTATTTCAGCCAGAAAAATCTGTGCAAATGTGGTTAAGTGCTCTTTTTGAAGTCTTTGTCATGCTTATTTTACATTGAATTCCCTCAGTCAGTAACTTCCCAATAATTGTTTTGCATTCTGTGCACCCCTGAGGTTGAGAATCAGAATCTATTGTCCCACCTCTGGACTTTTGACTCACAGACAAGCAACAAAATATTCCAATCTCCATGTTCATGCTTTGCAGTCCTACAAATATTCTTTAATGTTCAAATGTGCAATTATTTAATTGAATTCAATAGACACATATTATGAAAATTTCTTCTTTGTTCCACAGACAGTTAACCCAGTTTAGCTAATATAATTTTTTCTGAGCTGAGTCTAAAGATTGCTTATAATGGCCACATTCAGCCTATTTTAGAGTTAAAAAAACATATAGCAGTTCCTACATAAGTCTCACCTTTTTATAAATCTGTAGGTCACAAATACTGAACTGTAAAAATGACACCACTTTTGAATTTGCTCAGGTGAAATAAACTGGGGAGGAAGGGCCAGTGCATTGACATTACAGATTCAAATAGATAAATGTGTTCTTTCATTGGGGAGATCCAAGCAATTGAATCTCTTTTCCTAATCTCAATGCTAAACTCAGCTAATCAGCTCCTTGCTCATAGCGCAGTTTGACTATAGATGTGAGATTCCTCCTCATTGATTGCTAGAAGGTGATTCAAGGTGAGTCTACTGATCTCCTTGGCTATCATATTGTTGGAATTTGCCGCCAAGACCTCTGAGGGTATTCCCCTTGCCACATAAAAGATTTCTTGTATTATGATATTGTGTTTCATGTACCAGCAAATCATGGTTGTAATCAAAAGCCCAGTAATTTGTGTCTGGAAGAGATTAGTCAGGAGATCTGAAAGGAATCCTAGAGAAGAATGGGCTCTTTTCACATACTTTCTTTTTTCACGTCACAAGCTGATGATGATCTTGTGTACAGTGCTTACAGCTTACACCTTGGGGAAAACATTTAGTCTTCTCCCTTTTTTTGGTGCCATCCTTGAAAACGAGAGACTGCAGTTAGGGGATTTATCATGAGATGCTGCACATGTGCAGAACCTGGTTTCAAGTGAAACAATTAGATGTGTTTGTGGGATTTTTTAAGATGAAGTAGTTGTACCTGCATATGTGCAATGACCTTATTGTTACCTTGTTGTGTTAATGTAGAATATCAGAATCTTGCACTTGCAAAACAGTCATTGTTCTCTGTAGACACACTGGACCCATAAAGCAGTGGAATATTCTATGTGCACACAGAGACACACTCATGCTCTGGAAAAGCAATTAGGACCACTCACCAATATGACGTACCATTCCAACTTATTTTTCCCTTTTTGTTCTCTTTTTACTATATTTTTCACATCATATTCCCCCTACTGCAGTACTTAAGCTGTAAAACATCTCTGAATAGAAATCAGTGAAATCATTTCACAATGGAAACCCCACCACCACCACCACCACCCCTTGAAAGAATATGAGTGATATGGGCCGGGCCATTTTTATGTTTGTCATAATTGAGTGTCTTATGCATTAAACCATCATTCTCAGGTTTTTGAGTTTGACAACTTGTTGTGTTACCATGGCAACCCCCTCACAGTTGCCCCAGTGTTGGGAGCAGGAAACATGTGGATGCTTGCTGTCGTGTAATTTCCTTGCTCACAGCAAGTGAGCAAAGCTATGCCATGTTTCTGTTAGTGTGTGGGAATGCACAATGTATATCTACGACATTTTCAACAGGATCTTTTTAGCTATTATGACAATAACATTTTTTCAATCCCTCTTCTTCTCTCCTGACCACTTTTTCTTCACTTACTTTTCCTTTTTACCCCCTCTTCCCCCCCCCCTCCCTAGTACTGCCCAGGCTTTTTGCCTTTCAGATGAACCCCGTGCGGTCAAGGAATATCGGTACCCTGAGAAGCTGCCAGGTGAATTGTATGATGCGGACACACAGTGCAAATGGCAGTTTGGGGAAAAAGCCAAACTCTGCACCCTTGATTTCAAGAAGGTAAAAATAAATGCCATTCTCTTTTTTCCCCCTGATCCATGCCATTCCCAAAGAAGTTTTGTCAACAAAACTTTAGGAGCCCAATTGTTTAGAATAATCTGTTTGCTGCATAAGATAATTTAAGACCATAAAAAAAGAGATGATCGTAAAGTAGTAAAGGAAAGCAAAGAGAAAACTAGCTGCATGTCTTCATGTGCATATGCGCATGCTCTTTGGTGCAAAGAAAACCAACAGTCAAAGTTATAATCCCACCCCAGAAATTCTCAGTGGGACAGATGACTAAATATATGCTGGAGCATTGCCAATGGGAATCTCTCCTCATGACTCTTCCATTGACTCATTATTGCTGATGGTGCTGTTTGTTTTATATATTTTGTTTTAGATTTTTTTAATTCTAACTTTATCTGTGCCACATGGAACCAATAAACACATAACATAACATGTTTGATGTTTTTTAATTGTGTGATGAAAAAACATAGAAATATGTCCTAATTTCCCTTTAATTGAATCAGTTTTTGAGCCATGACTACAGATATCACTCAATGACTACTGAGTTTAATCCATAATGTACAATGTGTTTGTGGAAAAGACATCTTGTGGTTAAAAAAAGATATTATAAACCATGCTATCCCTCCATTTATACACTTATACATGGTTGGGACACGTAGACAACATGTTCAGGAGGAACCCAAGCAACAGTCCCCATCACCTCTTGGGGAATCTTAAAACATTCCCAGACCAAACAGGATGCATAATCCCTCCCTATAGTCAGTCTTCACTGGGTTCTTCTCCCAGTAGGAAATACCTGAGAAACCTCCATAGGGAGGCAACCGGGAGGCATCCTAACTATAGAATGACCAATGATTCTATTCCAAATTGAGCTGAGCTCATAGCTCTTTGTCATCCTCAACACCTTCCACCACAGAAATGAACCAATCTTCCCCAAATCCCCTCACTGGAGGATTATGCAAATTGGATTGAGGAGATATTTTAAGTGCTCCTTCCATCGTGCAATGGTATTCTTAGTTCACGTCATGTTAAGCATTGCCTGGAAAGGTCACAACTCTCCCTCTTTGAGTTGTTGAATGGTTTTCCAGAACATCATTGAGCCAAATGAACTCCTTCTCAATAGTCCCCCTGTCTTTCTCCCACATTGAGTTTTAGCTTCTGCAACAGACATAGCTGCAGCTCATTTAGCAACCTGCTACCTATCAGCCACTTCAGAGGACCTGTATAAGCAAAGGGTCTCCTTCTTCAACTTAATAATCTCCATCACCAAACAACTGATCCGGCAAACAAATCTGATTTATATTACGTTTGGCAATGAGCCTAAACATCCATGTCTTATTTAAACATATTCTTGTGTAGTTGGTCGCAACAACATGCACAGGACCAAAAAATCCCCAAGAACTCATCAAACATTTTGTTTTTCCAGGCACTTGTTTCACATTTAAAAACACCAGAATCAGTCACGGCCTGGTTCTTCAAAATAAGCTATTGCAAGTGAAGAAAAAGGACTCGGTCCTTTGAGCATAGAATTTAACCGAGAAAAAGCTGGATGAAAAAAAACATTTATTTCTTTCTTAGTTCCATTCATGGTGTCTCATTGTTTCTATACAGTCCTTCCATTGCTAGCCCTTGATGCTTTTTTCACAGCTACAAAAATCCTGAGCAAGCACAGCAGCTGGACAAACCGGTTCTTGGCAGCAAAAAGTTGAGGCTGAGATGCTTGTCAGCATCTGCACTGAGTTGTCAAAATCTGATATAGCCATTTAGACTGTAGCGGAATGGACATGTTGAAAAATAGCAGGGCTGTGATTCCCAGACAATGTGAACACCCAGATGCTCTCATTTGATTCTTTCAGACAATGCAGTCATGACATCATGTGAGCTTGGTTAGCACCCTGTTATCTTTATGTTCTGTGACTGTTTTCCAATCTAAGGATAAATTGTCTGTTGTGTTTATAATATAATATATATTTTTACTTTTAGAAGCAATAGATGTGCTTCAGTTGGATCCTGTTTTCTTCTGTTTTTCAAAAATGTTATTTACTGAACCGTAATTATTTTGAGACATGATAGCTGCATAGGGATACCATGCCAGAGGATAATTCAGACATGCTTTCATTGAAAGGTTCCCAAGAAACTAAATAACAGTGGTGTGAATTATCAATCCTCCGGTTGTATTTCCAGCTGCTGTAAGGGTGATCCTGGCAATTTATTCATCTTTGTTTTTTACATTATTGTTCCAGGATATCTGCAAGGCTCTGTGGTGCCACCGTTTTGGGAGGAAGTGTGAAACTAAATTCATGCCAGCTGCTGAAGGCTCTGCCTGTGGCCCTGATATGGTGACTTAACACATGTCTGTGTGTATGTGTGTCGTCATGGTAGTGTTTGTTTTTAACAGAGAGGGTTAGGTCATACACTCATAGGTTTTAGTTCAAAATTACTGATTTGCTTAAATAACACTGACATTTTTGTTGCCCCTCAGAAAATGCAGAGTGCCATGTTTTAAGAAGAAAAACACACTTAATTCAGCATTTAGAATTTATTCTTTAAATATCCTATCAAAAAGTACTTAAGTTCTGTCTTGGTTAAAAGAGTTAAGAGTCACAATCATCAATGTGCCTTTGATCAAACTTTTCCATTTAATCAATTAAGGACAGTTTTTGTTCTTGCTTTTGTTTTCTGATGGGGCCACCGCACACTGCTCCATGGCAACATCTCAGCAGATAAATCCACAACTCAAAGGCATCAAGCAATAGCCTCCTAAACACATTTCTTCCAACAGAACAACGTTGTCAAGAACATTCAGACGGACAGTTTACATTCTGCACTTAGAATTAATAGTCTGAGCTGATCTGACAGTAAATTCCTCTTTTTGACACAACTTAGACAATTAATTTTTTCCTTTCTTTTGTCAGTGTGCTGCTTAACATAATGAACTGTGTAGTATTTAGTTAAGAATAGAGCTTGTAAAGAGAAATGTCTCAAACAGAGACACGAACATTCTTCCTCCAGAGGATACCGCAGATCTGAGTCAGTAAACTGCTGGAACAAAGGGCAACATTGATTTATGTAGTGAAAAGGCTGAAATGATACTGTAATAAAGCAAAGTTTAGTGAGCGTTTTAGAGTTATATAGTGTTAGTACTTCCACTGAGCCCTGCCATTTCGCAACAAAAGCTGAACTGAGTGACATCTCAGTTCTCTTAACATTCACTGGTGTCCCAGGGTGAACTATTAATTCTACTCATTAGTTAAGCAAAGAATCTCCAGCAACTTGACTTTGGGTTATTTTAGAGTTCATTTAAGTGCAGTGAGAATAAATTCCCTGGTTTTGTCAGAGGTACCACTCCCCCCTTCTCTCATTTTACCTCAGGGAGCAGCTGGTTTGTTGCTGATGTGGCAGAAATATCCATTGGGATTGGGGCCAAAAAAGCAATCTGTGTTCCTTATTTATGCTTTGGTGGTGTCCTGTCTCCTTTTAAGACAATTCTCCCCCTGAGGCTCAACCTCTTGACAGCCCATCATCTGCATTTGCTTCTCATGATATTGAACTTGATAATTTAATCTCACCCTAAGACAATTAACTCAACACAAACATTGAAAAGCTTACGCAGGAATGTGTGGCATTCAGCAGTGGAGAGAAAACGTGAGTTCTTTTGGTCTATTCAAAGACTAGGAGAATATTTGGAGAATGTTTTTTGTCTGTATGTGTGTGTGGGGGTCCGTGCATGTGTGCATGTGTGTGTGTGTGTGTGCGCAGCCAGGAATGAGAACTGCTGAATACATACCCTACATCCAGTCACCATTCCTCACAGCACTGCCTGTGCACTGGGAGTGTGTGCGCTTTAAGCTTGAATAGTTTTGAGGGACTCTTGCTTGGTGTGAAATTTAGCTGCAGATCAGTATAAAAGATGTGGTTTACAGTTTTATTCCTCCTCTAACTTGCCTTGTTTCTTCACTGAAAACATTTGGCATTGTTCGCTATTTAAGTATTTAAGTCATTGTTTATTCCATGAAGGACATTGTGAACCTCTCTGGAGGATGAAACTGACCTTCATCAAATTTGGGGGAAAATAAAATGCAATATTATATTTAGTTAAATTTTCCAAGTGAGTTTTGATATGAATACAAATAAATAAGTTTCAGAAGGCAGAAAAAAAAAATTTGAATGTGGTTTTGAAAGGGTAACAGGTGGTCCCATGTCCCTGGGTAGATAGCTCTTATGTTGGTTAATGTGTAGAGGGATGCCACATTGATCTGTGTGGGTTTTATCCCCTCCAAAAAGTCCTTTTGGAGAAATGTCCAAATTTCACTCATCACTGTACTCTGGGTGATTAATGGTCAAGGTTGAGAATGAACAAAACCAGAGTTTCACAGATAAATCATGAACAGGTGTGGCCCACAACTTTTGTAACTGTTCTATGATCAAACATCAGAAACATGATGAAAGGCTAAGTCCACTGCATTACACACCATCTGTGTAATATTTTCTTTCTTTCTTTAGTCCATTCATTTTTTGTGTGTCTTTTTTATCATCTTTAGTGGTGTCGAAGAGGCCAGTGTGTGAAACAAGGGGACGACGGCCCGAGAGCTCAACACGGTCACTGGTCGGAGTGGTCATCGTGGGCATCCTGCTCGCGAAGCTGTGAGAGTGGAGTCACACATCGAGAGAGGGAGTGTAATAGCCCCAGGTAAAGGAATACACAGCCCCAGTCCCTAAGGAGCACTCACTCTGTGACCGCTTAAGTCTTTTTCTCTTTAATCTGGGTAGAACAGCTTTGATCGTGGTGCACATTCGCTGCAGCCTGGTTTGAGTAAGCTTGTGGCATTTCTCAACATTCATTTCCATCTAGAGTTATGTTTTTTTGCCATCTTACATTGGTGTTGAAAGAGTCGGACATATGCAAAATCTTCTCGAACACATCCCAAAGATCCACAATGGGGTAAATGTCTGGACCCTTCAGAGGCCGATCCATGTGTGAAAATGATGTTTTATGCTCCCTGAACTACTCCTTCACAGTTTGATCCTGATGAATCATGGCATAGTCATTTTGGAATATGCCCCTGCCATGAGAGAAAAATATCCTTTGATGAAAAAAACATGATCATCCAGTGTAGTCAGATAGACAGATTACATCATACTTTGGGTAAATAATCTTCTATTTGACTTTTTATTTCTGGCTAGCAGTCCAATATATGAATATGTAAATATATGCAACCAAAGACCACCAACACACAAAAGCTCTTAGGTATGTATGGTAATGCTGGCCGAAATTCGGGGTAAAATTAGCTTACCAGACAGACTGCAGACAGCCAGCTTTTCTGTCTCCAGTGTTCAAAAATGTTGTTCTACTTTTCCCAAATTCAAGTGTCTGATCATCATATTTTTTCCTCTCAAATATGTTTTATAATGGTTGCTTTTTAAAGAACTCAAGATGATGTTAACTAATTTACCAAAACCTAGTGACAGTTGAGTGTTTTTTCACATAGGTGTGATAAACTCTTCTCTTTGCTTTGTTCTGTGGATTAAACTGAAGAATTTCTTTACTAGCTGTAGAGTGTTATAGGTTCCTGGGAAGGACAAGGACTTCTTAAGATGTTGGAGTAGTTCATTTTTCTGATTAAAAATAAATCTTCTGTAAATTATTCCTATATTAGCTAATCACGAAGCATCATAACAAGAACTAGGTCAAATTAGGCATTGATTAGAAAGGAATATAGGGCAGAACAATTGGTGTTGGAGGAGTAGGAAGACTAAGACAAGAATCAAAGTATGAAAGACTGACTGATTTGAGATTTCAAACAGCATTAAACATGTGAAAGATAAAACGTAGAGATATGAATAGAAAGAACTTAAGATTGAGAGAGAGATAAGTGAATGTGGGATGGGGTGGGGGGGTGATAGAGAGAAGCATAGCCTCAGGCTATCCACCTGTGTGAGGAGCAACTTCCACCACAGCATACACAAACTCAAGTATTGGTCATGAAATTGCAGTGGTAATTGTAGCAAGCCAACATATTTATAGAAATGGAGCTGTAAAAATCCACAAGAACATTGTAAACAGAATCACTACAATAATATACCAGCAATGCTTGCAACAACATGGAAATATGAGTGTAATTCAGTTATATTGAATGTGTCATTTTACTTATCTCGGCAGACCTTCATATGGAGGGAAGTTCTGTGATGGACCCTCCAGGACGTACAAACTTTGTAACACTGAAGACTGTCCACCCAACACTACTGACTACAGAGCACAGCAGTGCGCTGAATTCAACAGTAAACAGTTCAGAGGGTGGTACTACACTTGGAGACCGTACACAAGAGTGGACGGTGAGGCTGTTGTCCCATTCATTTGCTAAATTTATCAGAATAAGAGGAGCGTGCGTTATTGTAAAAAATCACATGTATATAAGCCTTTACCACTTAAATCTATAGAAGCAATAAACTGTCTCCATGTTCTCTCTGACATCTGTGGGTTTATTTGGTGTTTTCTTTTCTTCCAGATCAAGATGTATGCAAACTGTACTGCCTTGCTGAAGGTTATGATTTCTTCTTTGCCCTTGCCAGCAAAGTTAAGGATGGGACTCTTTGCTCAAAGGGCAGCTCCAATGTCTGTATTGATGGACTTTGTGAGGTATGACCTGAAAATGTGAAAAAAAAAAAAAAAAAAACGAACTTGGTTATACAGTTTTTGGAATCAGTTCTGTTTTTTTCTCTGTCTTTGGTTTTATTTTGGTCCTCTCACAAGGTTCTGATGCTGGGTGATAAATCTTAAGGACAGAGAATAAGCAATATTGTAAGATATATAAACGGCTTTGTTGTGTTGTTGTCTCGCAGCTTCTTTTATTTTCATAAAAAATGAATCTTGATGTGTCAACACTGACACAATTAATGTCTGTTGTCTTGAAGCTTTTGTCATGAATAATGAGGTAATGCGTCGTGTGTTGAATAAAGCTGCCTTTTCTCCACAGAGAGTAGGCTGTGACCGGGTTCTGGGCTCCACGGCTGTGGTGGATGCTTGTGGTGTGTGCAAAGGAGACAACTCCACCTGTAGCATCTACAGAGGAGAGTACACAAAGCAGCATTTTACTAATCGTAAGTTTTGCTGATATGTTATTGGGTGCGCTAGTTTTGATGACTTTGTGTGGAATACGTGGTATAACTCATGTTCAGCTCACTGTATAAAATGTGAAAAGTAACAGAATGCTGCAGCTGGAAGATGCCACAAACCAATGTTATAGTCACAATAGAACAGAAACAAGGCAGAAAAAGTGACTGTAAGTACACTTTAACAACTGGAAAAATAACTAATTAGTTAAATTTGAAACATGGCATTTACATGACTGGCTCACACCAAGAGTCTTTCAGAAGAAAAGATGGACGGTTCAACAATCTACACAAAACTTTCTCCACTAATTCTGTAGAAAGTTAATAAATTAACCTTATCTAAGTAACAATCAAAAATGCAAATGTATTTGGATTGTTCCTACTACTTTTCATTGAGATTTTAAGGATTGTTTAAACTTTGGTTAATTTCACAGAGTATTATGGAGTGGTAACCATTCCAGCTGGAGCTCGCAGCATCCGCGTGATGGAAATGAATACGTCCACTTCCTACCTGGCTTTAAGGGACTTTCGGAGACACTATTACCTTAATGGCCGCTGGACAGTGGACTGGCCTGGTCGACACTCTATCAGCGGGACAACATTTGAGTACAAAAGACCATACAACCGACCAGAGAGCCTAATGTCACCTGGCCCTACAAATGAGACACTAGTGGTAGAGGTAAGCAGTCAGTAGTAATAGAAATTCTCCTGAGTTAATACAAAGTATCAATTTACCCAATCATATACCAAAATATTGTTATCTTCTTAGATATTGTTGCAGGGCTGGAATCCAGGTGTGCGTTGGGAATATACCCTAAAAAATACCAATGAGAACGTGATGAAGACTCCCATCAAACACAACTACACCTGGGCCATCATACGCTCCCCATGCTCAGCAACTTGTTCCGGAGGTAGGCTGAAGATCACTAAAATGACAATTTGTCCTTTTATTTGTCAAAGCAGATAGAAATCTCAAAAAGATTTTGTGAAAGATGAAAAAGGACAGCTCACATCTTATCTAAATCTGTGTCAGCATGCGTTAGGAGGGTAGATTGCAGATCAGCAGACAAGTGTTTAAATTCAGTCTGGCCTCTCTGACCTGTAATAAGGCTCCTAGCTGCAGGTTAAATGAAGAGTGTCCCCATCATTACTGAGAGGCACTTATTTGGAACTGGTAAGACATTCTCTTGTTGTACTAAAGACTTCTATTAGACCCACACGCACACACTCAAACAGCAAGCATGTACACACATGCATCTCTGCTATCAGTGGCCTTTGTCCCACCTAAGGCACACACATGCGTGGACAAATGCACACACATACGCGTTTGCACACAAAGGAAGCTGTAACTGACTCAGTAAGTAATTGTGGTCCGAGACACAAATTATGTGGGTCTACACTTTGTCGGAATACACCTGGGTGAATACGTGCATGCACGCTTTCCTGAGTGTGAACAAAGCCCCCAGTGTGCTGCTCTTATTGATTGACCTTGCAGGTTAAAGTTCTCCACCCTGGTCCCTTGCAGTCCACCCCAACCAGTTTCTCCTCTTTGTCCCACTTGCAGGCCTTGATGTATTCAGGGGGGGGTTGCTTTATTAAAAAGTGTGACTGACTAACTGGAGATTTTCAGACTGACCGCACATACAACTGATGGAAGTTCTCCACAATGCGATGTTGTTCTGTTTAATGTTAAAACACTGTACAGAAAATTGAAAAAACCCCTAAATGTTTGACAAAAGAATAATATCTTCGCGTGACACATGTGCCGAGGGAGGTGTGATGAAAGAGCACATGTTTCTATATCCATCAACTCTCTCTCCTCCCTCAAGGGTGTGAAACACATTGTTTTCACATTATTAAGTGTCTCATATTCACCTACATTCCTATGTGTATAACATACAAAATTGTCATGTCATTGTGTTTTTCATTTTAAACTGCATTTGGCAAAGTTGCTGGTTTCAAGACACACAAAAGTATAATCTGCATCTGCGTCTGCATACGGTTGTATTGCCGTGACAATGACCCTCTACGTACGAGACCATAGTGATCCTAATCATCTATACTCTACACAGGCCATATGAACACCAAGTCGGCATGCTACAAAGACTTGAGGATACAGGTGAATGTTTCATACTGTAATCCCAGATCAAGACCAGCTACTGGAGCGGTGCCCTGCAACACCCAACCCTGTCCTGCCAGGTCAGAACTTCTGTTTGTTTATCTGCTGATATTTGTTTTCCTTTCTTGTCCAGTACAGTAATCTCCTAAAATGAATCCATGTAGTTTTAACTAGCAGTGTCATCTACAAATGGGTGAGCTATTGGCTATGGATTGTCATACAAGTGGCATAGTTGAATGGGTGTAAATGTCCACAAGTTAAACAGCTGCCGACTTCGCTCAAAAGTCAAATATCTCAACTACTAGGCAGGAAACTCACGTAAAACATCATTGTGTTAAAGGGGATTAATATTTGTCACTTCCACATATTGCTGTCTGGTTTTGCCAAAACCTTTCATTGAACCATTATCACTGTCTTAAATTAAGATAAGTGATAACTGCAGACATTTCTCTGCGTATTTGTGTGTGTGCGTGGGTGCGTGTTTTCAGGAGGGCGACTCTAAATTGAGTGAGTGTGAGCTTGCCTGCTTGACTGTCCCATTTGTCTCTGTGTGGCCCTGTGATGGACTGTGACCTGTCTGGGATGTACCATGCTCTTCGCCCAGTGACAGCTGAGATAGCCCAACTATGACCCTACTTAGCATAAACAGGTATATGAAATGAATTGATGTTCACAAAGTTTATCTCTGTAAGCCAGTCAGGAGGGTCAGTAGCCAGTCAGAAAAATCTCTACTAACAGTCATGCCCTAAAGCAGTAATGACAGAAGGCTGGAAATCTGACCTATATGGCAGTAGATAGGCTCATCAAAGGGCAGATGGCTGCTATATAAGCTATTTAACAGAGACTTTAGTAGCAAAGAACTTTGCAGTCTCTGTTGCCCAGTAAACTTGGTCCCTGAACCAGAAAAAAAGTCAGATTACTCTGAAACTGAACTTCAGCAGTATCTGACTGAGCTGGGATTGACAGCTGGATCAAAAACTGTCTCTGATATAATTTCAGAGAGGACTGAACATGGAAAGTTTTAAGTAGCAGAATACAAGTTTGGCACCAATTACGACCCTCAGGGCAAGTGGTATAAACTTTTCAAAAACTTGATCGTGTAGAGGTTAACCCGGCAGTTAAATGTGAATGATGGCAGCCAGAGACAAAGCTTGGAATTATGTATCCTAGTCCTGCGCAAAGGCTAATTAAGTTTCTGGCTGTAACTGCAGAAAATGTTTTTTTTTTTCACGCACATCTTTGGAAAACAATGAAAGAGATAATCATCTTGTGGCAGCTAGCCAAATAGTTGATTGAATAGTGGTTTAGTTTTCCAAACACAACATCCTCTTGCCCTCTTAATAACTTTCAATTATTTGTGTCTCTCATCCTACTTTTAGCACATGGTGGTAAGTCATTTGTTTTTTTAACCCCCGCTTTTTCACATTCTTTCTACCCGCCTCCTTCTGTCATGTGTTACTGGCTGACTTTCACATCTGTTTTGTAACTTTTTGACATGCAGTATCAACCTTTTATATGTTGAAAGAAATCTTCCAATCTTCACACACCATCCCTAAAGAAGTAAATGAAAGGTGGCAGGCAGAACTGTCTGTATGTTCCACCTTTTTTTTTGCCGGTTAAAGCACCTGTTCTGAAATAACAACATTTTCCACTTTTGAAAAATAGCTCTCAATTGAATTACAAAAATGTGTGAGACACATGGCAGAAAAGAGACTTCCAAAGTTGATATGTGCGTGATCTCATACTCTTCAATATGATACCTCCCCACCTGTCTGGATAGTTTGCGTCTTTACTTATAACAGTTCTCCAAGGACTTGTGAATCTGTCCACATGGAGCACCATATTGTTTAGCGGCTTCACGGCAAAGCATTTGTTCTTTGGCCTTTTTCGTGTTTCAGATGTTCATGGCACTGCCAGTTTATTTATTATCACATGTTCCCTGATGTAATATGACAGAGCGTCAAAGATCAGTCATCCTGCTCTGATGCTGAACATCATAGGGAGTTGGTTGTAAAGTGACGGATGCCGAAAAAAAAATGTTGCTTCCATTTCTGTGCTGCTCTGGACATTGTCACATAGTGTATAGTCATGGTCACAGAACCTATTAATCAAAGAGACTCTTGAGATTACAGTGGATTGAATAAGGAAGGGAACCTGATATTTGTGTTGATGATGATAAACGTTCTCAAAATTTGTTTTTTACTTTTCTTCAAGGTGAAAATGGACATGTGTGCTCGTAAAATGTCTATAGAACTGTATGTAAAAGGGATACACATATCAAACATCTACAATAAGTTATTGACCACATAATTTATAAACAAAAAAATGTAATCTGTGGGGAAGCCCACTGACATTTTCAAGGTTATTTGTAAAACAGATGTCGCTGAGGTATTACTTGTCCTGGGCGAGTTCGTTGCTCGAGTAATGATATCTAAGACATCACACAGACCTGATCTTCTGGGCTTGAGGTAAGAGATTACCAGCATAGCAAATGCAAAGAATGTGTAATAGTTATTTCAATTAAATAAATACTGTGGCATCCATCATATTTTTCCATGCTCACAGAGCTAATGCTGAGAGACACACAACTCTGTATGCTCACACTTGTATGGATGGCTAATCTAGAATTTCCCGATAACCAAAGAGTCATGTATTTGGACTCTAGAAGGGAAGCGGAGCATGCAGAGAAAACAGAAACTCCTTACAGTAAGGCCCCAGCCAGGATTTAAACCTGAAGCCTCTTGAGAGGTTTCTGGTTGCACACTCAAACTATATCGAATGTATCAGCTATATTGTTTTATCCTTTGAGAAAACATCAACAGAATTGCCACAAGATTTCACTATAACAGGCGCAACTGATTACCTCCACTCCTTCGCTTCTTTGTTAGACAAAGGAATAGATCTTGTACTAGATTTAACTCCTACCAGAGCCACCAGTGCACATTTATGTAGGTGCCAATGAAGGCATAGAAGAATATTTATCTCAGGCTTTTGACAGCTGCTGTTGAGGCGTCAGTTCCTGTGTGCCTCTATTCTGAGTATTCCCATGGACGCCCTTAGCAATGGTTTGAAATATCAGCCAGCTTCTTGCAAATGAAGGGGACACTGCTGACAAGTTGTGCCTTGATTTATGAGCCGAGAGGCTCAGCTTAAACACTGATCTCATCTTGGTCAGTGCTGCATGTGTACGTCTGTTGTTGTGTTACCAAATGTGGTGTTGTCACCTCACATTTAACACTTTTTTGAAAATTATTTCACCTCTGTCATTGACAGGTATCAGAAGGCATCACAAACACCAAGGCTTCCCTGTCAGAAATAAGCTCCTATGATGTGATCAGCCCCTCCTGAGGTTCTGTGATGAGGCTTGATAAGTGCAGGAAAGAAATTGAGGCATTTTTGACATTATGACAAGTCATAGGAAAGTGCATTGGGTCTCTGAACAGAAAAGCAACAAAAACACTGTTGGACAAACATCAAGTGGATCTCTTTTGTCGATGCTTGGATGCATGATATAACACACACGCTCATAGTGGGGGATGTCAGTGTGTGATGCTGCGGGTGGTTGACACTCACACACAGAAACACACAGGGAAAAGACAGGGCTGGGTGGTAGATGAACAGTGCTGGTTTCCAATTACTCAGAGCTTCACTTACACCCAAACTCATCCACCCTCTCATCTATTCCTTTTTAAGCGTCCTCACTTCACCCCACTGCACAATTGGTGCAGTCAATTATTTGCAGCCATAACAACCAATTAGTGTGGATTCAGGCATTGTCATCTTCATCACGCTGGCGCCATCTCTGCTTTGCTTTTTTTAATCCTCTCCCTCTTGCTCTTAAAGTAATCTCTCTCCTATTCAGTGTTGCTCTGATGCTATCCCAAAAAGATTATGTGCTTAGAGAACCTGCTGTTTAAAAAAAAAATGTTCTCATGAAAAAAAGTGTGCTTAAGAATGCTTAAGGTACCCTGCTGAGCATCGGTATTATGCATTCAGCACTGAAATCATGCAATACCAGTTACAGTGGTATTTATCACGTGTTTTATTGTCACCATCAGCTGTTCAGAAGGGGATTTTTCCATTTTTCCTTTGTGTTTAAGAACTACTGCTCAATAATTCCATCTCACTCAGTTTGTGTCCTCGGAAAACTGCTGCAAGACCACATAACTGTCTCATACAAATTGACGAAAAGAAATGACATAAAGAAGTAATTATGCTGACAAGAAACATATACATTTATATTAGTAACATAGAAATGGCAGCTCTTTACGGCAAAGCTTCGTTAGGTCAGACATTTTGAGTGATATTGGTAAGCTTTCGTTCATTGCATCATCATTTGTAGTAATGTGTACGACATTATGTAGTCATGACCACTTTGTTTTCACAGTTATATTTAAGACAAACAGTGCAGTGAGCACATTACACATCTGCCAACTGCATGGATGACTCCCGCCCATTTTAAAAACATCATAGAGTTCTAAGGAACTTTGAATAAAGATTATTTAGTAAATGTCATGCGGAGGTTGCTACCATTATACTCCACCTACAGTCTACATAATTTACTGTGGGGCTGTACCCAGTGTGACATGGAATCAAAGAAATAGGGCTTATTTTCTCCAGTAGAATACAAACTATGAACATTTTTCTGGGCTTGAGTTCAGTTTGATCATGTCAAAAGAGGAAATTTAGTTTTTGATACTGCAAATTGAAACATAATTGAACTTGGCACTATTTGTTACTGGTTTCCTTGACATTGTTACATGGGGAGAATTAAACTTATTTTGCCCTCTATAGGGAATATAACAGAAAATGGAACATCTGAGAAAATTACAATAAATTAGGCATAGGAGTCTTTCTCTTGGAATAGCAACAGGGGAAAAAAAGAAAGGCTTATATTAAATGTCATGCCAAGCTTTGACTACTCATTGTATTGCCTAAAATATATTGCTCGGTTGAAACCGTGTAGAATAGATATAACAGAAATTGACATATCACTACATGTGAATATAACATGTGGACAAACCAGTTTTATGTTAAGTATTACGTTTCATGCCACACTGACTGTAAATAATTTGATTAGGCTCTCAATAGGAAATGGATCGCTGTGGAGAGAGAAAACTGCATGTTTCAGGAACACACACCTCACATGCTGCACCCATCCACAGTTTGTGCTTTTTCTCTGTCACTATCCTAAATACAGAGACACAAGGGAAGCCTTTGAGGTCAGTGGTGAGACCTTTCTGCCCCACCTCCCACCCATTCCCATACACACTGTGTTGAGAGACCCCCACTGCTGTGTCCATTACCTGGGTGGCTTCAGGCTCAGCTGTAAACATAAGTCTAAATCATGGACCCTTTGATGTGGTGTCTTCTTTTTTTTTCTTTCTTCTGACCTGTCCAGCCCTGTCCGGCTGAGTGCACTCATACAAACAGACACACACGCACACACACACACGGGTACCACTTAGCAGACAGCTGAGGATAACTGTCATTCAAGCTAAGTCCTGCCCATGTGGCAGCACTTCCAGTGTCTCAGCAGAGATTTCTGACATTAAGCGTCATGGTACGGCTTCCATTTATGAATTGATTTTGCGTCGTATTCCCCACTTTTTTCTTACATGTAATTGTTCCTTCCTATCTGATATTTCTTTCTGCCTTTGTGTTCTTTGCATCTTACTTCAGCTTCAAGTCAGGCACCCACATTCCTGTCGGCTTTTACTCACTAATAGAGTTGGATGTTTACACTGACTTTAGGAAGCACTGATAGTGCTTGTAAAGTAATCTCACAACTGTTTGCACACATTTTGGGGGGGGTGGTTTTGGTCATTATCTATAGCCGCAGCTGCTTAGGAGTGCTTATGTGTGATTATGTGTATCTTGTGTGCATGTAAACACTGGTGGATCCATGTATTGTGCAGAAACTTTCAGGCTGTTTTTCACTTTGCGATTTTTGCTCTTAGTAATGAGTGTTTTTACAGATATTGCAGGCAATTCACTGGATGTAAGATTTCCTGGTGTTATTTTCTGTGATGATTCAGGTATGAACTCTTTAAAGAGTTTGTGAATGATATTGTGGAATATTTGCGCTGGATCTCACCTTATGTTTTTCAGTGCTGTTACATTTTAAGTTGAACTTCTTCTGCTATTGAAGAACCAGCAGAGTTTTAATCTACTTTTAAAAGCTCATCATTCACACGATTTAATTAATTTGTCCTCTTTTATGGGCGTTTGGTCAAGCAGAGCTCAAAACATATCGTTTTGTGTGCTGTATATCAGCAAAAGGTTGTCGCGTCACCTAAACTGGGATCCAGCCACCCCCCACCCTCCGTCAAAGCATCTAACTTAGTCTTATCAGTTACCTGCAATTACGTGTTCATTTCACTTTGTTTTGTCTTGTAGACCCCAGGAAAACTAACTCGTCCCACTCTTGGTGACAGCTAATGGGGATCTTTTTTAACAATAAACAATAAACTTTTGAAAGATTCCTTTATGCAGATGATAGTAGATTACAGGAAATTACTTAAAAAGTTTGCCTTGACTTAAAAAACTTCTGCGCCGCATTTTTAGGTGAGTCACTCACAAATAATGTGTCTAGTGTCTCAGCTCATTAAGTGTGAGCTGGGACAAAACACATGTGGTTTCGACCACAGAACAAGACTGGCTGGCTGTGGTCATCAGTCCCTCTCTGTATGTCCTACTATTCTGAGGCCAGGTAGTTATTTTGTTTAGCTGTGTCTGCACCAGGTGATTTGGACTAAACCCACATGATGTCATGGAAACATGTTTCTGATGCACCCACATAATTATAGCATGATATTATTCTGTTTCACAGTGTGTGTGTGTGTGTGTGTGTGTGTGTGTGTGTGTTCAGGTGAGCAAAAAATAAAATGCACGCAAACTGAAGCACACGCCCAAAAACTCATGAGGGCCAAGCTGGCAAAACTATAAAACACTGGTTAGATGTTATTTACTGCCACTGGTGTACATCCATACAGCAATGTCTAACATGTTGTCCAGAATTCAACTGACCCTTGTGTCTCTGTCCAGAGAGTGCCATGCTTAGTCAAAAATGGTTTCTCATATCTGAAATTAGGCTGATGAATCCATGCAGCAAGTCTTCTTTATCAAAGAACCAGCACGTCAAGTTTATGGTCACCAATTAGCTTTTGTACATTTATTACATTTATCAAAGTACTGTGACTATGAAAAAACTTTTTTAGCTTCTGTTCCCATTCCTTCCTATTATGTACTTTTACACAAATACAAAACAAAGCAGTGTAAAGCATGCTGTAAATGTGCAGTAATAAGTTATTATGTTATTCTTATGTATGCATTTTTATGTTATATGTTTCTATACTTTCCATGGGGAATGTATGATGGCTGTGTTTCACATCTCTTTGCAGAAAGAGAAATCTGAGTGTTGTGAAAGAGCTAAAACCATATGTCATGAAGTATAATAATATGATGTCATACTGTAACCAGTAGGTGGATGTTCTTACAAACTGAATCCCAGATATCAGTTAACCACCACAGACGTGTGTGGTATGTCACTGAAACCTGATAAATACATTCAGAAAAATATCAAATTTCCTCCCTTGTGTAGGAAACGTCACTAGTTTACTATTCCCAAATGTCTTTTTAAGCTCGAAAGTCATGGCTTTAAAAGTTACTGTGATTTCAACTGGATTCTTTTTGATTTAATTTATTAATTCAGTGACAACTTTAAGGGAAAACCTATTTTTCTTTGCCAAAAGCTCTTAAATATCAGGCCAACATACTACATGCATGTAACAGTATGTCTCTAATCACACCACTGCCATTCGAAACAAGGAGGCATAGAGAGACCTTCATTCCTTTTCCTCCTGAAATCATCCTCTGGTCATACTTCACTAAGTCAATCCGTAACACCTATGAGAGCCGATGGAGTTTCTAATTTTCTTGTTATTTTGATTCATCGGTGCTTGCAGCATACCCTTTACTTCACTCTTCTAATTTACTTTATACAAATTCCCAGCACCAAATCACTGCACATAAAGTTTAGACTGTAAATATAAACAACTTAGTGTGTGTTGGGGTTGTTTGGGATAAATTGTAAGAGGGTGTGTGTGACAAGGGATTGAGCACCCTAAGTTTGAGGTGAGTTAGGATTATGCGACAATCCTTTAAAGAATAGAAAAAGGCAAGGAAATCTGTATACTAATGGCATTCTACTAAGGCATAGTTTTGAAAAGAAGACAGTAATGAACTTCAGTGATCTTAAACTCGTGAGCAGATTATGGCAGGACTATATCAGAGCTATAAAAAGCAACCATGAGTATAATATCCAAGAAATGTATGAGGTTTTATTTTGAACCATCAATGCATTCATTAGTGAACAGAAATAGCTGAAACAACAAATGTGGGGGGGGTTCTACAACATTTGCTATTATTGTACAGTTGTCATGTTCAGGAAGTTCTTCAGGCTTATCTGTTTAAGTGATTGAGGAGCTGTGTGTGTGTTTACTCAATGGCCTTTGTGGTGTGTTGTCCCAGCTGGTCAGTAGGAGAGTGGGGGGAGTGTAGCCGGAGCTGCGGAGGTGGGGCGCGGACACGACAGGTCCACTGTGTCCAGAAAACCAGCCACATCCATGTAGACACCCTGGCCGCCTCTCACTGTGCTGAGTCCATCCCAGTGCGGAGACAGGCCTGCAACACACACAGCTGTCCACCAGTTTGGGCCGTCGGGCAGTGGTCACAGGTGAGCATGAGAAAGGGGCTCCACTGTGCAAGAATGACCTTTATTTTATTTTATAAAGCTCTGCTGTAGTGCAAAGTTTTATTACCCAATTGGGATAAAAGTGGTCAAAAGAGCACCTAAAGAGCTTTATGCATTGTGGTTGGAGTGGACTGTGATGGCTTCACCACATTTTATGAGAGTGATCTCAGTGGCTTTAAACTGTCAATGCTTCCATTGAGAACTCCAGTGCTTTGTTCCATCTCCAATTGCCAGACATTGTGTGTGGTGACATGCATCATTGTTAAACACTTCAAACTGCAATTTTGCCCCCAATTTACTTTCCCTCTGGTACACTGGGGTGCAGGGTGATGCATCCCAGCCACACATTTACTGACAAAAAGATCCCAGTTATACCAGAACAAAAGGATTCGTAAACCTTCCCTGTGAAGCTCCCGCTTACCCTATAACTTTCCATCAGGCTTAACTGTGCAAATAAACAAAATTCTAAATTGTTTTTTATTGAAGAGGTTTTTCTATTTAAATCACTTGACGAATAAAAAAAAGTGCAACCACATGCACCATGTTTTCAACACATTGTCAATGATAAATTAAATGAGTCCCTGAGAGACATTTGAGCAAAAACTCATTACATTGGATGGTTGGGTTCGATTGTTCCTAAGAGGCAACTGCTGCTGATAGAATTCATGCCAAATTCACTGAGAGAAAATTTTAAAGGTGTTGTTTTTAGAACACTTTATATTTGCAATGCAAACTATTGACAAGTTAAAGGTTTGAATATGATTCCATGCAAATTGAGTACTTTTTATAATACACAAAATATAAAAGTATATTGTATATAGCTTTTTTGGTGCTTCTTGCCTGTATATCTCAACTAGAAAAGTGTCTACATTTACATAGCAAGAGTCTTACCTGTTTTATTGTATAATTAATTCCTTCTTTCCTAATAATTTCTATCTGGCAGTGCTCGCGAAAGTGTGGTAACGGCCTGAAGAGGAGGACTGTTCAGTGTGTAAACACCAATCCAGGTGTTCAGACTCACACGCTGCCCGACAGCGAGTGCGCAGGCCTGCAGAAACCTGCCAGTCAAGAATCCTGCTTCATCAAGCGCTGCCAGAAACAGCGAAAAGTCCAGTGGTTTGTCTCCACATGGCAAGAGGTAGTTCAGCAGCAGTAATAAAGACTGGCAGAAATATGATCCTCCATATGCAATGAGCTTGAGCTCGAATGAGTAAAAACCTCCTTCTGTGCTTTCTCTGTTGTCAATGATCAGTGCTCAGCCTCATGTGGTCGTGGTTATCAGACACGCTTCATCAAGTGTGCAGAGAAGGTGTGTGTCTTTAATTAATGTTTTTTTTTACAACACCAATGACTAGTTTTTAAAAAATTAACACGAACAATTGCCATTAATACTTATTCCTTTAACCTTTTTATTATTATTGATTGATATCGCTGAAAAGACTTACATATTTCCTTGCTTTCATACTGAAGGACACTGCTGGAAAATACAGAGAACTTGCTGACAAGAAGTGCCACCATGTTCCCAAGCCCACAGTTGAGCTCCACAGGCTATGTGCACTGGCTGAGTGTTCCACCCGCACAACCCCGGCAGTCCACCGATGGAGGACACCTCAGCACGCCTATCCATCTCAGCCCCATCCTCACTCTCCTCTACCAGAGTGGCACTCATCCTCGTGGTCTCGGGTAGAATATGTTTCTTTCAGAATACTACATCTAAACATTTTTCTAAGGGTAAAGACAAGTCAGTTCAACCAACTTCAGTTGGTTTGGATAACAACTCTGTCCCTCTCTCTCTCTCTCTCTCTCCTTTCTCATTAAAAAGGGATCTATAAATGTTCTGACCTCTGCCAGCTGCCACTATTGCCCACAAAATAATGGATCATCTATGTAATAACAGATATGCCACGCTGTCCACCATGCCAAAGCACAGCAGCTTGACTGGCATGGTGGCTGTTCGATAAAACTAGGCTGGCTTGGGCAGCCGGCTAAATTCTCTTCACAGCTTGTTTTGCAGAATCATCCAGTTGGATTGCTTTCCCTAATTTCAACCATATTAACAGAAAGTCCCGTTCCAAGGGCTGCCAGGATTGAAGCATTTTTAAAAGTAATTGGCACAGATGGCTAAATTATGTCTAGGAGCACAAAAACTATTTAATTAAGTGAAACATTTCTATAAAACATTTCTAGTGCTGGAGGAGACAAACTAAAAAGGATTTCATCACCTTCCTAAGTTAGAAAAAGGCACAACCTTTAATAGATTGAAAAGACAGGAGTAACTAAATGTGTTTTCCTGGGTGCAGCGGTGTTTCATGGCCTCTCTCATCTTGGCCTGCTTTCTTTTACAGTGCACAGTGACGTGTGGAGGAGGTGTGCAGGCCAGGACAGTTCAGTGTCAGGTCCACGGAAAGCCTTCATCCGGGTGCTCCCTCCATAATAAACCCTCATTGTCCCAGGCATGCAACACTAAGTTCTGCCCTCTACCTGAGAAGAAAGGTAAATCTTCCACACAATGTTTTCTGACATGACTTCTTTCAAAATCATTTTAAAAAGTTGGAATTTAAAAAAAAAAAAAAAGCAAGTGTTTCTTTTCCCTTTTCCGTCCACAGACCTAATGTGTAGGGACTACTTCAGCTGGTGCTACCTGGTGCCCCAGCATGGAGTCTGCAACCACAAGTTCTACGGCAAGCAGTGCTGCCACTCATGTTCAAATTCAAACCTATAATTACACAAAGTGACTCATAGCTCATAGATGATTAGCTAGAGAGTCAAAAGACTATATTTGATGCCCGTGCTTGAAAATATGTCATTATGTTCTAAGCATGTGGCAAAGCACTGAGAAAAGAGCATTTCAGTGGATGACTTCCAGTCCCTTACCTTGTCCCTGTGATGCCGGACATCTGGATGCAAGACTCTGATTCCAACAGAGGTAAACAGAAATGTGAAGAGAGGGAAACAAATGCAGGAGAGAATTTGGGGGGGAAAAAAACATTTGGATCTTGATCAAAGTGAATTTGACTGACATGTCTTAAGGCTCTGAAAATCTTAATCTTTGTTTATGTATGCTACGCAACAGCACAGATTATTATCCAGGACACAACCACCAACAATGGCCAACCAGCACAGATGAACTGTAGGTGATGCTTCATCAGCATTTCCAGATCTTAGGTCTGAAAACAAGAAGGGATTTTTAAACCCCAAAGCTTTACTGAAAAAAGAAAAATAGCCTGTTAGAATAAAGAACTGCTTGCTAAAGGAGGATAAAAAGAAGAAAATAATAATAAAGGAGCCTATTTTGCCACATCATATGTCACAAAACTTTTTTCAGATGAGTAAAGCTTTGAAACTGGCTTTTATACTCAGTGGTGCTACGACTTTGTCACTTTGATTTAAAAGGATCAGTGCCCTTAAAATTCAGGAAAGAACTAATGAATTGTGTGACCTGTGTACATTACAGTATTGTTTGTTTTATTTATTGGCTTTACAATACACCACTGCTGGAAGACTGTATTGAAAAGCAATATAAATGTATTGATAATATTTTTTACTCGAACTCCAGTAGATTAATTTTGTGCCATCTTGCATCTCAAGCCGGTAAACCCACGCCTGTTTTAAACTTTTGAGGAAAACTTTTATCACCAGCAAATCCTGAGAGCATGTGGTTTAAAAGATTTTCTGGTCCATATGTTATTGTTGCATTATTATACGAATCCATCACATATTGCATGCATTTTTCTGGAACAAAATAATTTGCATATCATTTATGGTTTGGAAGCTCTTAAAGATGGTAGATTAAACAATGTCAATGTGACTTTTGCACAAGTTGAATTAAAGACCATTAACAAATGGGCATGACAGTAACACACCGATTTGTTAAGCTCTAACTTTAACTTAATTTCATTTTCCAGGGGACACACACTTTGAATATTTGCATCATCATAATAGGGGCTAGGGACTATTGTTTTGTATTTCTATACTTTAATATTCAGCCTTGTAACTTTCAGATTTAACAGCTGTAATGCAAGTTTGTACATTTAAACATTTTTTACCTCTGGTCTTTGCCTCCATCCGCTGTTTTTCTTACCAGCACACAAAATTTGATATTGTCCATACCACAGAAATCCCCAGCATGCCTTTGTATGCATTAAAATGTCTCCAGACAGATATATTTTACTTTCTGTTGAATTGAAGTACTGCTGTTACTCTCTTTATAATCATTCCACAATCCATTATTGATATTTAGATCAAATCCAATGATGAGATGGAATCACATCAATTGAAAAAGGAAATAATGAGCTAAAAACATTTAGGGCTATGTACTTCTGTGTGGGTCTGTTGGTAGAAACAACACTTTTCACCTAAAGGTACAGTGTAAAATGAGCTATTTCTGTATTAAAGTGTATACAAAGTGACATGGCAAATGGAATTTATTTGTTGAGAATATATTTACCTCAGCCTACATGTTCCCATCAATGTTCAAAGAAACTCTTTGATTTTGTTACTAATATGGTCTATACATACATTAAAGAGGTATTCGTTTCACTGTGTTTGAATGACACTAGAAAGTTATCATTGAAATCTGATTTGAAGTGCAAGGCGGCATCGTCTGATGGTCTTAATCATCAGAAATATCAGTGTTGTCAAGCTCGAATGCTAATCAGGTAGATGGGAAGTCTAAAAATCCTTTACTTATTGTCAAGTTGGTTGTTGTTTTATCATGTTTTTCACAGTATTATGTGTGACTTTTCTCTCTGGAGCTCTTTGTATGAACACCTGAAGAGCTAAAGATATATATCACAAGTAAAACAGACTAACAAAACAAAATAAATAAATGTAATTGTATCAATTAGAATTGAAATGACTGCAACATTGCCCGCAAAATGGCTGACTGCTTTTCCACTCTTCTGTAAACACTTTTTTTTAGTACAGCCCCTGTCACTGTTTGCTTTTTATTCAGATATTTTCTCAGTCCCTGCCAAAAATACACATAAGAAGAATATCTACTCATTAGGGACAGTTATACTGTCTTTGTTTTATCTGTTGATTTCTGTTTTAAATAACTGAGCAAATTATCTGAGCTTCTTTCACCTCATGGCTGATGCACTACATGTCACAACAAAAATCAAAAGAAATATGATGGGGCTTGCACAGCTTGGGCTTAATTCTAGGATCCAGTTTTCAGCTTCCACTGAAGTGCAACACCTAAGCCAGGGCTCTGGCTAGCAGTTATGCCAGTGTGGTATTACACATTTCAACACATATGACATATCGTGTCTGGACTTTGTTCTTTACTCATCTCTCTTCCAGTCAAGGAGACACAGATGCTTAAAACAAAACAACCCCTGTCATAATCCCTGAGACCTTCAGATGGTGGGGTAAAACAAGAAATGCCATTTTAGGCCAAAAGCTGCTTTCTTTTTTCAGTTGAAAGTATTTAGGAGTTACTAGTTATTAAGAGGGTGGCCATGGGTGTAGTGTGTTGGTCAGCACCATCGTCTCGTAGAAAGAGAGTTCTAGGTTCGAGTCCCAGGGGAACCAGGACCTTTCCGTGTGGAGTTTGCATGTTCTCCTTGTGTCTGTGTGGGTTCTCTCTAGGTTCTCCGGCTTCCTCCCACCATCCAAAAACCTGCATGTTAAGTTGATTAGACTCCCCTTTTGGGTGTGTGCAGGGTTGTTTGTCCTTGTGTGTCTCTGTATGGCCCTGCGTACCCCACCTCTTACCCATTGACTATAGGGTAAGGCTCCTGTACCCCTGTGACCCCATTAGGGAATAAGTAGTAATGATAACGGATGGATGGATGAAGTGAAAATAATTGCAATTGCTTAGTTAATTTGCCGTTAGCCAGTTATGAGCTCTGTGAGCACTGTGCTTCAAATACGGGCCAAAGTAGAACTGTTAAGCAACTGTCTGCAACGAAAATACACTAATAATTCTCCTCTGACATCAAGATCACACTTTGATCAATGTTGACACCTAACTACAAAATAAGATGAAACAATCAGCATTTACAAGGTATAGATCAGCCTGACTATTTCACTGTTAATATGGGACAGTTCAGGTTTGGAAACCACATTTTCACCATACGATTTGTAAGGCAACAGTAATTCTCGACAGCAACTCAACAGAAAAAAAGATATATCCAACCACACAAGAAGAAGGGGGTCAAGAGGATGAGAAATGTTTTGTTTATACAAAGATGGTTATCAGACAAATGCTTCCTGAAGATAACGAAGAAGGTGAAGAGAATTATAGCCACCTTCAAAATGTTACTTTACTCATATCAGGTAACACAAAAGATCTGTGAAAGAAAAACAGGAAGATGGGAGGCTTGCAAAGCACTCGCCTTTCCACTTGAATGAAATCTCTAACTATCTCTGACCACATCTTTTTGATAGCTAACCCCTCAGCCTTGAGGCTACACTCAGAAGGTTCATGTGATGTTATTATCTGGATGCATCCACAACAGTCCCAACTAAATTTCCAGAGTTTTGCCACAGAATGTGGAATGCAACAAAGGAGAGAATAAAAATGACATCTCCATTTACTTCAGAACAACACATTAATTCAAATAAAGCATCAAAAAGTGAATTTTGATAGATTATAGAAAGATTAAAACATGCTGAATGCAGCAGGCCAGTGAATAACAGTGAGGGTTTAATGCACTGGCACAAATAAAATGAAGGAAAACATACACTGCAGCCATAAAAAATTATTGAAAAGCTGAATGTAGGATTTGCAATGTCTGTGACACTGCTAATGTTTTTTACAAAGCTGTATTATGCTGTTAAAGGTTAATGTCTACCTAAGAATTTTTGAACACCTAAAGCAGCAGAAGAATCATCAGTAAGAGCTTTCGGGCTCAGGAAAAACCTTTAACCGTGCAACAGCACCCTCCACTGAAAGTACTTAAAAAGTCATTTATACACGTTCCAAACCAAGCATGGAAACTTACACTCCTCGTGCCCCTTGTTCTGCTATAGTTTGGAGGTTATCAGCCAATTCTATTTCGTTAATGTTCATTTGCCCCGTTGAAGTATCAATCTTCAGATGTTGAAAAAATGAAAAAAAGAGTTCCCTGACCGGGAATCGAACCCGGGCCGCGGCGGTGAGAGCGCCGAATCCTAACCACTAGACCACCAGGGATGAGACGGCATCGCTGCAATGTTCAAACAGATTTCAACACAATTTGTGATGTAATCGTAGCTGTTACTACACAAGCCATTTGTCCCGATGTATATTCATTCAACAACTTATGTTAATTAATTGGTGAAAAGTAATTTCCATTTGACTCATACTCAATAAAGAGCAGGTTTGTGTGAAATTCACCGGTAAGAACTGCCAGACATAAATTCGTATTTCCCGAAAATTAAATTAGACGTTTCATAAAATATATCTCAAAATAATATCTGAACACATACGACCCACAAGGAAAATGATATATGCATCATAATTTTAAAAAAAATATCCATCAAGGGAGAAATAATTATTTACCAATTTTAAGGCATCAGTCAGGGCTCCTTTTGAGAGGTCCTAGGATGGGTCCTTCATCAACGTGGGAGACACGAAAATGTGAAGTTGTTTTGAACCCGTGTGGAATTTGTGACACTAAGATACGTTCGCCCCTTTACTTTGCTTTATTTACCTATTCGTGTGGATTTGATGGACTTTGCCTTTCTGCCATGATGCCAGGACACAATCAGTCCAAAACGGCGGCAATTGCCGCGGAAGCGACGATTGGAAACTGTCAGAACTGCTCTGTTTTGCACCAGGTCAGATTAACTTTCTATCAGACAAATTCATTACAAATGTAATGTCTAGTCTTGAAAAGTCATAAACAGCATTTGCTGGACAATACGTTTTCAGCAGTTGAACACACGAAGCCGTAGTTCGTAAATGTATTCAGTGTTTGCGAATTCCAATGTTTGTTTTGTTCATTCTCATCCCGAATGTTTTTAAACAGAGTCTGGCTGAATACGTCTCGTCATTTCTGGCACTGAAACAGAAGATAACGGTTTCAGAGTGAGTATCTGCGAATGACAAGTTTCCATGGTAACACTTCTTAGCCCTGTCAACGTACAGGTAATCTGTGAGGATAGTAGAATCTGTCAAGTAATAGTTTTGCTTTAAAACAGTTACACGTCTAGCTATTTGATAGTATCAAAAAATACGATTAACGTCACTTTGTTAGCAGCGAGGCATCCTGAACTAAGAGACATGTAAGTGTTGAGTAGGGTAAGATTGTAAATTGAGTGTTACTTAATTATTACTATGCAGTGGTGATTCCTTTCTTGAATTGTACGCAATTATTTTACCTTAATCTTGGATAGTTAAATTAATGTATAATTTGTCGTTGTTAAATTGGGAAAAAAAAACATAAGGCCATTGTATTAAGAAAAAATCCAATAAAGAAATTCTCTTCCTATGTCTTTAAAATGGACGTACATCCAAACAAGAGGGTGGTTTCCAGGAAGTTGGGAATTATAATTTCACTTTACATTAGTTTTTAAAGTTTCTGGCAACTGGATTAACACAGTCACATCTTTATCACATTTTAACTTGTGCAGTGACACAGTCAGGCTTCAGGAACAGGTGGAAGAGCTCCAGATCTCTGTGGTTACCCTGGAGAAAAAGACAGCAGATTATGAAGCTTTGCAGGCAGAACTGGAAGAAAAGAAGGTAAGTGGTCACTCAGTACGAACTGATACTAAACACATTTTTCCATACACTGACACAATTTCTTGCATTAATTTATAAATCTATTCATTTCTATTTTGCATGACCCATTTGACCCATTTTCAAGTTCTCAAAATGCCATCATTGTATTTTTATGTTTGTTGTGACTTCAGACAACAAAATTATGCTCTCAAACATTTTGTTTCTTTATTATATCTTTTTTAACATCACCACAAAACATTTGAACGTGAACATTTTTCCTGCATCTTTTCAGAGTGCTGTGAAGGCTTATGAGCAGCTGTCCGAGGAGATGAAAAAACTTAAGCAGGAGAACAGCCTAAGGGCCACAGAGTAAGTAGTGTCTCAGTCCTAACCGTGTCAGTTTGGATGCTAATCGTTTGTCTTTCTGGTTGCCTGCTTACTGTTGATTCCCATGTTTCTCAGAAATCAAAAGCTTGAAGACCAGCTGAAGTCTGTAAAAGGTCATTTGCACACACATGCATTACATTTTCAAATGGAAGTGTTTCAAATTTCGGAAATAATTTGTAATGATTTGTTGTTTTTTTAATTCTATTTCAACCGTAGACTTGACAGAAACGCAGTCATTTGAAAAGGCAAAGCTGAAAAGAGAAAAGGCTGCTCTTGAAAATGATTTGCTTCAAGCTCAAGTAAGTAAAGATAATTAATTTGATTTATCTGAATTTAGTCGACTTTTACTACTCATAAAAGTAAGTAAAGGCAACTTTATTAAACTTTGTATTTCCCCTTTACAGGCGTTGATGAAAAGATCCCAGGCACAAGCAGAAAAGGCTGAAAAATTGATGGAGGAGAAAGCTGCAATGACAAGCCAGTAAGAAAAGTTGCTTTTCATGGCACAACTTCCCTTTCATTTCACTTCACTTTTTATTTAAGGAACTTAATGCCATCATGGTTTTCATCCACAGGAAGGACAGTCTTGAAAATAAAGTTCAACTACTCAAAGGTAAGACTGAGTTCCAAGACAATAAAAAAAAAACTGATTTGAATTTTTTTGTACGTTGTCTGTTTTCTTTTTATGTACCTTTATTTTCAACATCATACATCTGAACTATATTTCTTTACTATCACTCTAACTTATTTGCTTATTCCTCATTTTAGACTCAATTAACAAACAGAACCATCAAATATCACAACTGACCAGAGAAAAGTTCCTGTTGGAGGGAAATATTGCCGACCTTCAGGTACTTTGCAGGGTGTTTTAAAAGGCAAATCATGGAAGGTTTTTGCTTTTTCTCTTAAACTGACTTTCTAAAATTTGAAATGGTCTCTATTATTCCTCAGGAGAGACTGATCAAACTGGAAAGAGATAGATGCAAAGGTAAAGAAAAACGCACAGAGCGTTGTTATCATGTTAGACATTGTTCTGTTGTTTTAAAACCAAACATAACATGACAGTAATGGCTCCGTGTATAAAGTCTGTGTAACCAGCTAATTGTGTTTAACTCTGTAAACATTTATTATCAATTATTGCTTATTGATGCAGAGTTTAATATCTTGACTTGAAATTTGACAAAGTTGAACAACATACATGTATCTTTTTCCCAACAAGACTATAAGAGTGCAACAAGTCAAACAACTGTTCCTGTAGAGCCAAAAGTGGACAAAGGTATGCTGTTGCCTCCCATTAATAAAAATCTATTTGATACGTGTGCAGATTTACTTAATATTACTATTGATTTTGTTTGTTTTTTGTGCTTGGTTTTCCAGAAAGGGTCCGGGTGTTACTGCAGAATTTGTGGGCGTGTTTGGATCCTGAGCAGGAGCGGTCTGCAGACCAGCTGCTCTCCACAGGTAAAGCATGACTCAGCCATCCTGTAGACCTGTCGATTCCAGTATTATTTCTCTACCTTAACTAGTCTCGGTTATTACGATCTTCTCTATATTTTTTTATTTCAGAGAGTAATCACCATCCAGCTCCACCCTCCTCGCTGCCAAACAAACAGCCTGATCTAATCGCAAAGTGCTCGTCAGCGTCGCACAAGATCAGCGACTCTCACAGAGACTCTCACAGAGACTCTCACAGTGACCACGTGCAGATGAAAGCAGTTTGCTCACAGTTAAAACGCAGCCCTCGAGCACCGGGTGCCCTAAAGCTCGAAACATCCCCCCAGCGCTTTAAGGCTAAGAGTCCGGCAAAAACTCCCAAAAAGAGCAAGCGATCGTCCAATGAACAAAAACCTGAGGAGCCACTTCCTGATAAGGGCAGCTGTGAAATATCTCTGAGTGATATAATGAAGATGTTCCAGCCATTGCCTCCCTGCCTGTCTCCAATGTCAGAGTCGGTGAGAATCTGATGCTCATGTTCATAATATTCAGTCTCTGTGCAGAGTTATTAGACATATAATTGTAGGACATACCATTCCTCCTCAAAGAATATCAGGAGACTTTGAAGTCATTTTGGAGTTTGAGTGATGCTGTCGTTGTTACCTGTGGTGGCAATGAGTTCCAACAGGCTGCTTATGTCTTTCAGGACACCAACATTGAGCCAATGGAGTCAGCGGATGATGGAATAAGCAAGGACCGACCTGAAACACCTGACGGCTCTGCTCCTCTTAAAGAAGAAGACTCCTCAAATGGCACAGGATTGAAATCAAGCCACAGCGGTCTAGAATCTTCTGCACCACAGACAGAAGAGAACATGGATTTACAAGATGTCAAAACTGGAAATCAGTTTCTTTTATATGGTAAAGACTTGAGCCAAAATGAATCGAGTGGTCCTGCTCAAATAAGTGACGAAACCTGTGATAAAGACGGTGGAATTTGCCCTGAAGACATGGAGCCCATGGAGGAGGCCCCACCATCTTCATCAAACAGTGCGGTTTTAGCTGAAGTTGTCTCCTTAAGTGCTGAAAGTCTGAACCCTTTGCATTCTGTGAATCCCAGCAGCGAATGTGCTCACAGCGCCTCGGAGGTTAAACCCGCTTTAAATTCACAAAATGATGATTCCATCACTGTCACAAAGATGGACGTAGACTCCAGCATAAGGGAGGTTTTGGGTGCCATGGCTGACGATCCTCAATGCGGAGAATCACTCCTGAAAGGTGATGCAACTGTCAGCACTGAAAACGAAAAACAAGTGGATCCTGTTTCTCAACCTGCAAAAGAAACAGTGGCTACAGAAAACGGTAAAGAAATTGAAAAAGACCCTCTGAACTCCTTCAAGGGCAGTCAAGAAACCACGTCGCTTAAGCTCGGGGAGCCTTCGGGCTCTCCCGTCAGAGACTCAGAAATGCCAGAGTGCGCTCCATCAGTCACGGGTGATGGCATGGTCAGCGTCTCACATAAGAGCCCCGGACAGAGGTCAGAAACCGATGCAGCCCGCCCGCGCTGTGGGGCCAAAGATAGCAGTGCGGCACACACACTTAAGGAAGTTACAGCTTCACCCTCTGAGTCAAATGCTGGAAGTAAATCTCTGTCTGCTGTGATGAAGAGGGAAGACGAGGAGCCCCATTCTGACAAGGGCTGCGTCGAAGCTAATTCTAAAACTCCGACAAAAGCCGACGTTGACGCAGAGACAACAGGCAGCGAAGTGATGGCGGGCGGTGCGCCCTCATTGTCTCGCTCCCCTGGAACAGCCAGCGTGGGCTGTAAATCTTTAGAGAAAAACACACCTTCTGTTTGCAGGGAGTTGAGTCCTACATGTCTGTCGCCCTCGGCCGAAGGCACTCCAGCAGAAACCGGGGAGCCGCCTGTAGATGATGAGACAGAACTGAGCGCAACAATCGGAGAACATCCTGAACCGCACACGGGCAGCGATGACACCAGTGAAAGGGCTTCTGTCAGAGGGCTGCCTCCTGACCACACATATGCAGGAAGCTCTGTGCCAGCTAGTCAGAATGCCGCTGCCGCAGAAGGACTAAAAACCTTTACGGAGTTTGGAGAAGGTGGCACGGTGGCACACCCGGCTGCAACTAAGACCTCGGAGAACATCGGCCATGTGCGCTCTGAAATGGGTCCTCCACTTCCTCCTGTTCTCACTCCGCTGAGCAGCCCCCCAAAGGCAGGAAAGTCAATCAACCCAAGACACGCTATTGGAAAGCTGTCCTTTCCCTCCCCTCTGGATGGGGTAGCTTCCCCTTCCACTCCCGTGCACACACACTTAACACCCAACAGCCAGCCACTGTGTTCCTCATCTCTGGACAGTCCGGTGCCTTCGAGTGGAGTCCCCTCATCGCCTCTACAGTTCGGGTCTGCCACCCCGAAACACGCCGTGCCCGTCCCAGGCCGCCTGCCTGCGGCCAAGAATTCTTCCCCATCATCTTCCACCAGCCCATCTCAGGAAAACTCCATGAGAATGCTTGACACCATGTATCCAGAACTTTCTGCCCGTGCCCGGACTTTGAGCATTCTCAGGGGCAATGTCAGTCTGGGCATCGGCTCCTCGGAGAGCGGAGCGTTATCCACAGCAGCAGACAACCAGATGTCTGGCTTTAAGACTATCAGCTCCACTTCAACCGCTTTTACAAAGACTGAGATGAGGGGGAATAAAAGGCCGGCCATCAGCTCGCCTCAGCCCACAGGCCGCAAAAGTTTGAGGCTTGACAGCGATTCTCCTGCCGTTTCTTCCAAGGAGGTCCCTGCCCTCTCCTCAAACAGCGGAGACGAGGCCACGTCACCCCAGAGGGTTGAACCGCTCAAGAGTCCAACATCTGGAGAACCAGCTGAGCCAAATCTTATTGCTGATTGTTTGATGAAAATTAGGAACATGTGCTTTGATCTGCTGCCCGTTCTCCAGAGCTGCCTTTACGTTGGTAACATGCCCAAAGGACCCGTGCTGAGAGATGAAGAGAAGGAGGTCATCTCTGAGATCTGTCAGTGTAACTCGGTAGGTATCCTTCTGTACTGTTCTTACCCGTTTAACGCTTGTTCTACACCAGACATTTCAGAAAACCTTTTGAAAAATCTCACTTTGCAGAGCAACGTGACATGAAGGCACTGTCTGGCAATCATTTTAGATAATCACTTCCAGATTTGTCAATCTAGAACAAATCTGGATAATCAGTTTCCACATTTGTTTCTTAGAAACTCACCATATGGATCAGTTTGTATTCACTGGTGGATGCCAGAAAAACACTAGTCAAAAGAAAACATATTTATAAGGCCCACACTTTATTATTGTGCGGCAAAGGTTGTGTTCACAATGTTTCTTCCCATTTGCATGGTGTTGGAAGGTTTGAATGCTCCCTCCAAGTACCGGCCCCGGTATCAGTGGGGTAGAGTCGGGATTGTGTTTTTGTTGTTTTTTTCCTGCACATTTTATTTTCATGTCTTATCTCTCGTTTGTTTTCAGCTTGAAGAGGATGACATGATTTCAGCCATCGCGACCAAACTGAAGACGGAAAAAGATGTCCTCAGCCCAAACTACACGCAGGCCCTCTGCAGAGTGTACACAGGGATCTGTCGACAGAGGAGACACTACGAGAAGGCTCGCATCCTGGCCTACAGCATTCTCCTGGAAGGTTGGTTTGATTTGGACTGCTTAAAACCAAGCTTTAAATCACCTCTGTTATGCCTTCACAGGATTATGTTTTTTTTCCCCATCAGAGTTTTTTTTAAGAAAGTACAAACCTTTTATTTTGTATATTGTACGGTAACAACAAAACTCCAAACCACTTTATATTGACCTGTGGAGATTAATATGTACTCTTTGAGGTACAAAATAACTTTTGTACTATGATTCTCACCACGTATGTGTCTCTTTATGTATTTTATGTGATACTGTCTTTCTCCAGATTTCCCAGAGTCTGCAAAGCTGGTTTTGTTTATGGTGACAACATGGCCCAGTTTCCTCTCACACAGTGGTTCTTTGTGCCAGGCCATTCGTGCCATCACCAAACTAAAGGCAGAAGAAGGACTTCACCACTGCTTTTCCAAATTCTTTGGCTGGGAAAAGGTATTTTTAAACACTTGTTTTTACATTTGTCACACCATACGTTAATCAATATTGTGCTAGCCTTGCTCACCATTAGCACGCTGGTGGTTTGGAGACCATGGCCAACAATAGCATCATATCCAGATTTAAGACGTTCAACCTCCCACTTTAAACTTACTGCATTTGCCCTCATGTCCAACAATATAGAAAAGAAAAATAATTCTACATATAGCACACAAAAAATGGTCCATGTCTGAGCCTTGTCTAAATGGGCTAAGCTTTAATCAGTGATCAATATCGATTGTTTTCAGTTTTCACAATATTCCTTAAAACCATATTTTCCTACTATCACTGCAGAATCCTCCCTGTGACATTGATCAGCTGATTACTCAAGCACTGTCTGAGTTTCGGTCAGGGTCGAATAAGTCCTTCATCAAACACAGTCACTATGGAGAGGACCTCCCAACTGAAGCGTGGGACTGTATCTTCACATTACGCCTCCTGTGCTCACACAAGAAGTGGAAGTGGACCTATGAGAATGTCGTTGGGTATGTTTTTCCTCTAAACAATAAACTGATATTGAAGTGCTTCTTTTTTTCTATCTTTTTTTTTGCATTGATACATGCCATAAACGAGGCTGCAGTATGCCTGTGCTAACGTATTCATCTTTCTCTGATAGAAAGGAGTTGTGGCCATTAATGAATGATTGGGTCACACAGCCAAGAGATCAACAAGAACCAGTCTCTGACATGACCGTTGCCTCTGTAATCCGTCTCACAGGTCAGTTTTGTTAATTGAACTTGTCATTAAGCAGAACTTCAAGGGATGCACCATTTGATAGTGAGAAAACAGGAAATTCATTGTCCTTTTTTGTAATAGGATGTCTGGGTCAGCTGGGCCTTCAGGAAAAATGTGTTCCTTCGGTGGTCACTGTTGCCAGTGTCATGAACACATTTGGGAGGCATGGACAGACTCAAGGTAAGGAACAGGTTCAGTTCAAGTCAATACAGAATGATTCGGTTTGGCTGCAATGCTTATAAGGACCTGTAGGCTTTGCTGATTTATTTTGTTTTTAATATGCTGGCGTGTGCATATATATGTTCGGAATTTCAGCTAGTGTATCTTGTTAATGCATATTTAAAAGATTTTAAAAGATATCTGTCATAGCAATGCAAATACAATGTCAAAATGTTAAAGTCAGATGAATTCCCCCTCATAATCCTAATTCCAGAGACTATTCTCCCTACAGGTGTACCATGGGAGGTCCAGTTAGCAGCTGTGTACTGCATCTACGACCTGTCTCCCTGCAATCCCAAACAAGCCTTAGAAGCACTGGCAGAATGGAGAAGAGAAACAACTCGAAGTGTGCCTCCTGCTGTAACTAGTTGCATGACCCAGTTAGGATCCATTTGCAGACAAGTCAAAAGATAAAAATGTATGAATTTAAATTTCACTCTAACTATTTTAAAGACAGAACTAATACCTCCGTATGCACTCTGACATGTTTTGCAAATAGCTGCAAACTGTTACAGAAATGTTTGTGCTCTGTGTATCGCAGGACTTCTTAGTTTGAACTAGATTGGTAGAGATTCATTTCCGATTTCCCTTAAATGTATGCCTTTTGTGGTTTTTAGATGCACTTTCACATCGTACATTTTTGTTTTCCCATTTCCTGTTGCACATTTGATTTTTAATATTATGATGCCAATGAGTTTGTAAAAAATGGACTTAAAAAACTCCATGCCTTTCTCCTGTACTCAGGTAAAACTGTAAGATATGTAAAACATGTACATGACTGTAAAGGTTAGGTGTGAAGCTGATGTAAATATGTCAGTGTTTTGTTCCTGTAATGTAAGATTGTCAGCGTTTTGTACAGTTCTTTTAAAATAATTTTATTTTTTTCCCTAATTAAAATGCACGTGTATTGATTGGCCCGGATTATGTGTGTTTTCGTTATAAGCGCTATAGAAGTGCAAAGCCAAGAACAGGATGATGGAATGGACTGGAGCTGCTGTCATGTCCTATGTTGCATTTGAGGCACCTCGGACGTGGGATGATCTGAGCTCAAAAGCTTGGTCCTAAACCTTTTTCACATTCAGTGAGCAACTCAGGGGATTTTTGGTGAGACTTCAAGAAAACAATTTAGATCAGTTTAGTTGTGTGTAATTTAAATGATGGCAGATTAGCCCCAAATGCACCACGGATCAATAGCAATCTTGAATCACCAAAAATTCATTTTGACCGCGCGCCTCTGAGTGAATTAGGCTAAATGCAGTAGTCGAAATTGACTAACTAGACCTAATTAGCATGTTGTAAATCTTGTTACCTCTGATGGCCCAGGTTTGCCTCGTAGAGAAGTCAGCTTTAAAGAATTTCTATTTGAATGCAGCATCATTCTGCCAAATTGTATCAGAGTTATCTAAACAGTAAGAGTTCCTATTTCCGGCTCCACCCGAAAAAATAAAAGAAATTGTATACCACATTTTGGCAAACTGCAACATGAACTCATGTTTATCGTCGTTTTATAAGTAGGTTGGAGCTTATACAATAATAATAGATGTTGTGTTTATGTATTTTGTGATAGATTGTAATATAAAGTAGAACCAGCCATTGTTATCAAAGGCCCACACATACAAGACAGTTGGTTTTACTAACTTTATCTTGAAAACGTGAGATTAAAAATGTTATTTGTCGATTTTTGAGTATTTTTTCATTGGCCTATTCGTGGTATTTCGAAGGCAAAATAACTTTTACAGTGTTACATCCGTTGTATCAGGTTGTATTTAAGTGCCTTGACACTTTTCTCAGACCAGAGGGGTGTGTTCAAAGATTTAAATCCCTCACACATGCGTAGATGCTGATCCGTGCCGCTGCTGCGCCATATTGGCTGCCTTACATGGGGAGTGGAGTTGGCCAAGCTGCCTGATTAACCATACCAGTTTCCAGAGATGAAGCTCTTTAGCGAAACCAAGTAAATCGGCAACGGATAACTTTTTAAGTTTCCTTGACTGCAGAGTATTAAGAATTAGCTAAATTGCTCCCAGTGTTTGTTTCTTTTGGGTTTTCTTTCCTGAGAAGAGGTCCTCTCCAAACTCGACTCCAATGGATCCCAGGACCGCTTGGATCCAGCCAGAGCAGAAGGGACCGGCCAATTCCCTATGGATGCATATTTGGGAGACCTCCCAAGGATTTGGAGCAAATACCGGCATCGACAACCACCTCCACCACAGTGTTGTGCAAAATGCTAACTCCGCGGACTCTAACGGCGAGTATTGCAGACACATAGCGCCGCTGCCGGGGGTTGTGTTTGGGAAACTGTCGAAGCGAGACGGCGGAGGAGAGAAGGGAAATGTCCGGAGGAAGGGCTCGTTGTCGCCGTCCTCGTCCTCTCTGGACTCGGAGGCCGACAGCACGTCGCCCACCGGCTCCTCGCTTCATATCGACAATTTGAACGAGGCCGAGCAGTTTTTACACTGCGGCGAGCATGAGTTGAACGAGAACAACCTCCGACGGCAGCAGCAGCTCCCTCAGCCCTCTCACCCCGCTCAGCTACGCTGTCGCAGCATGCAACAATCCGCCGGCCACACCCCCACCGGCATGAAGAAGCAGCAGCAGCACGGGAACAGGCACAACCACCAGCCCCATTCATCCGGCCGCAGGAGGCAGTTGAGCAGAGCCAACACGTTCCACGGCATCAACCCGCTCCTGTCGCTGGGCTTCAGCGGCCACTACGCCGGCTCCTCCGTTAGCTTGTGGAAAACCAGGCGCTACAGCCCGGGCAACAATGGGTAAGGACATGGCATGCAAAATACAATACAATACAGAATACACGCTTCATGTGCTACGGTTTTGAGTGTGTGTGTGTGTGTGTGTGTGTGTGTGTGTGTGCTTGTACGATTTTCCGTCATTTTATCCGTGATTTGATCAGCCCGATGCATTTCTCGTCATCAGTCTCCATGAAGAAATATTAGACTTTTTCAACTTCATGTCACCGAGACCGGAGGAGGAGGCCATGAGACGGGACGTTGTCAACCGGATAAGGAGCGTCATTGAGGATTTGTGGCCCACGGCACGGGTGAGTGTGACAGGCTGGATTTGGGCCTAGAGAGTTGAGTTTGGGAGCAGTTCGCCCCTATTGCCTTTTAATCTAGATGTGTGTAGTTGATTGAGCTGTGCCAGACCACTCGCTCCATAAGGCTTTGCCTTTTTTTCACCCCTTTTTCTCTTTCAATACCGATTTGGTTTTCATGTTCTGTCACTAACCTTTCAAAGCCCAGTAAAGTGGTAACTTCCAGTCAAATAGGAATGTGTTCTTCACTGACCCTGAAGATCGGTCAGGTTAAGGACTGCCAACATGCTTACATTTCTGTTTTAAAGATATATGAATCAGGCTTTTCTGTCATAAACCCTGTTAATTATCAATAACTTTTTCATGTTGGATTCTGAACTGGTAAGTTTGCTTTTAAGTCAGTGAATAGTACTACAAAACTGAATTGGGTCAATCATGCTTTAAACTGATGTGGTAATTCTCATCTAAAGCATTGAAATGGCAAAAGTGGGTCAACCATATACCCTTTTTTTGTTAATTGGATAATTCATTTTTCTCTGTGTGGGTTGAATAATCGTTTAATTTCTCACACTAACTTGGTTTACTTTAAAGTGAATGAATGCTGATTTGGATCTTAAAAAATGCATGTCTACACAGTTGGACAGATGTTTTTCTTATCACTTGTTCCTCAATTTTGTGGTAACCATTTTCCACTTTGTGTTGCCAACAGAATATTGGTATACTGTTAAATAACTTTTATTTTGTTTATTTGTTCCTCCAAATTTTGTTAATCTTTAACAGAAAACAGTTAAAGCACAAGCACAAGTTATCAGTGTCTTGTCATTTTTTCCTGTTTTGTCACATAAAGCAACTTCAGACTGTTAGAAGTACTTGTGTGTAGACTGTTGCATAGCAGAATTAAAATTTGTAACTTTTTTACCGAATCTTTTTTATCTAATTTTTCAGCCTTTTTGCTGCTCTCATTTTTTTAGTTGCTTTTTACATGTGAGATAACGCTAGTAAAAATGTTGCATGAATAAGGTCACAGCCCAGGCAGTCATGTCATGGCTTTCATCACATGTGAGGAACACCTGACATATTCAAAGAGATTAAATTTTAGGTCTACGTCGAGGTCCGTGACCAAACAGACATTTTTACTTTTGGTAAAAATCGCAGCAGAATGTCATTGTTTTCTTTTTGTTTTTTTTCCAGGTTAATGTTTGAGTGGGATGAATTGACTCAGTTTGGTGAAACGGTGTTGCTTTACACTTTGGACTTGTCCAAATTGTGATGTCATGAGCTGTCCTGCTGTGAGGGGCTAGAATGTGTTGTGATTTAATACCAGCTTGTTCTCTGCAGGTGGATATATTCGGCAGCTTCAGCACAGGACTGTATCTTCCTACTAGGTAATGTTTGTTTTTTAATTTTGACATTCTAATCTTGCATTAAAGTTATTCTAAATTAACAGAGGGGTGGCTTTGGAACTTTTTTAACTGAGCTGAAAGTCCCTGAAGTATGTCAACTGTCAGACTTCTCTGAAAATGTATGAAAGAGACTGGAGATAATTTGGTCCCCCAATTCTTTGCAGTCTCTGCTTTTTATATAAATGCTGGCTTATTTTTATCCAGTTGAATATTTGTAATTTAAGTGCTACAGCTCTGCAGGAAGTGGCTGAACTCTGTCTGCAGCAGGGCTGTATTTGCCTAAGTCCTGCAGAGTTTTCCTGCCAGCTTTTCTTTGCCCTGCATTTTCCGGTGGAGCACAGAAAAGAGTTTTGGTCAAAAAGGCTTTGCCGAGATAAATATTGCAGTCACTCAGTATTGCGGGATCAGCTCTGAGCAAAGGCCTCACTTTGCACCTCGTGTCGATGCAACTCTTGTGTGGATAAAATATCATGGTTTTGTTATGTGCACAGTGACATTGACCTAGTGGTGTTTGGAAAGTGGGACCATCCCCCACTGCAAGAACTTGAGCAAGCTTTGAAAAAACACAATGTGGCCGGCCCATATCCCATCAAAGTTCTGGACAAAGCTACAGTAAGTCAGAGTGAATTCCACGAACGAATGTTGATTGAAAAAATAAATTTTCCTCTTTAATGAAGTCCTTTTTTTTTTTTCTCCTCACCTGTGTTCAGGTGCCAATCATCAAACTGACTGATCATGAAACCAAGGTGAAAGTGGACATCAGCTTTAATGTGGAGACTGCAGTCAAAGCCGCACAGTTTATAAAGAGCTACCTAAAGGTTTGTTTAGGAAAACCTGACATAGTTGCATGTCATAAATAAAGATGTTTCCTTCACTCTTCACCTTTCTTTCTCTTTTGTAGAAGTACACCGTTCTTCCACCCCTGATCTTCGTTTTGAAGCAGTTTCTCTTGCAGAAGAACCTAAATGAAGTCTTTACTGGAGGCATCAGCTCATATAGCCTGATTCTCATGGTCATCAGCTTCCTGCAGGTACATATGACCAAGCTGTGCCCACAGAGAGCAAAATAAGAGTCCTCTCTTTCAGTTTTCAGCAATTGAAATTTGAAATATGTCAAACTGCAAAGGCCTGTTTGAGTTCATTATACATCATTTTTACACACACCAAACAAAAGCAAAAAAATATAGTATTTGAAGTACTTTGTCCTATGTAACAGAGGGGGGTGCTGTTTTCAGCTTGATCTCAGGTCTGCTTTGAAAATGACATACTAGAGTAAAGCATCTGCAGAGGAAACTCAAAATAGATTTTTTTTTTTTTTTAATGGATTTTTAGATATTATGGCTAAAGCACAGTTCTGCAACTGTACTGTTTCTGTGCTTTGCTACACTATTCCACCGTTTAGGATGTTGCTGCCACAGCATATTTTCAGATTTGCTAGAATGTCATTCATTACACTTAATGTATTAGCTGCCTTTTATCAGAAAACTAATTTGTAAGTTTTCTTTTAAACCTTATTGGTTCACATTGGTTTTATCCTGTTTTCAGTTGCACCCTCGGATTGACACGCGGCGAGCCAACATCAACTTGGGCATCCTGCTGATTGAGTTCTTCGAGTTGTACGGCCGCGATTTCAATTACATGAAAACGGGCATTCGGGTGAAGAATGGAGGAGCTTACCTGTCCAAGGAGGAGATGGTCAGAGCCATGGGGAATGGAAACAGGCCATCAATGCTCTGCATCGAGGATCCAATACAGCCAGGTCAGACTTGAGTTTGAAGTTGATCATATACATACTGTATCTGTATCACAGCAGTTGGAGAATATTTAAGTGTTTCCTGCCAGGAAAATGAGACTGTGGGAGGTTAGAAAGGTTTGGAAGAAAAAAACATTTTTCTCTTCTCTTCTTTAGAATGTTTCAGGAACTGACTTTTCTTATACCTAAATAGATGCGTGGCAGCATTCAACCTTGTTTTCTGATCTTCAAAGGCAATGATGTGGGAAGGAGTTCATATGGAGTTCTACAAGTCAAGCAGGTCTTTGACTTTGCCTACATGGTCCTGAGTCATGGAGTGTCTCCTCTCGCACGCGCTTACCCCAACAAAGAGCACGACAGGTTGGTCTCTTACGCTCCACTGCTGCCTTTTCAGGAAGCTGATTTAAGAAAAATTAAATAAATCTCTCAAATGAAAGCATACCACAAGAGTTGCAGAATGTTTGCTTTTAGTAATTAACTTTCTCTTGCAGCACTTTAGGACGAATCATTAAAGTTAGCCCTGAAGTGCTGGCCTACAGGGAATGGACAATCAAGAAATGGGGAGCCAAGCAGAATGCCAAGTTGGAGAATCATGGCAAGTTTGTGTGGTTTACCTTTGTTTTGTGTTACTTTTGGCTGTTTAGCAACAGATGCTGCAAGGTCCATATTCACATTGTCATTTAAAGTATTTTTATGCGTTTTAGATTTGGAGTCGTGTGAGCAGGATCTTTCCAGACTGATGGTGGTTGAAGATCTAAGGGACACTTCCTCCCCCCTCAGTGCTGACTCCCCCTCACCTCCACCAGTCTTTCTCCCCAGCCCACATCACCATTCGTCGTCATCCTCTGCATCCTCGCTTTCTTCCTCTCCCTCTGGAAGTGACATAGTAAGACATGGATTCGTTGTACCTCTATGGCAATAGTGGTCGACATCCGTACCCTCCTAATAAAATATATATATATGAGATATCTCTCACACACAACCTGACTGTAGTCCAACAGAAGAGATTGATCCAAAATGTGCAGCTTTTGTTATATTCTGCATATGTTTGACAGGAGTCGGACTCTTCACTGAGCAGCAGCACTACTATCCAGCTCCAGTCCCTCACGCTGGCCTCGGTCCACTCCATGTTTCAGATGGCTGCTAACCCGAGGGCCACGCATCCAGCAGGCTTTATCCACCCAGCACATCAGGTGGGTAGATTATTAGTAGAATGTAGGCAAGAGGAATACTGATAAAGTAAACACATTCTCACAGTATTTTCTGTGTTATTCTGCAGGTCCGGATGTCTCTTCCAGAAAATGTCACCATTCGCTCACTCTCTGATTGCCAGTTCTTCCAAGAGAACCCTCCCATCATCAGTGTTGTGCACCGTCACACAACACATTCCGCACAAGTTTCCCAACATGCAACCCCCACAAGTCCTCTCCCCAGCCCCCTCCACCGCCCGCAGGTCGGAGGGCAGCAGGGCCGCAGCTACGTAATGAGATCCAACTCCCATGGTTCCTTTGAGGCACACAAATTGGGCTTCAAGCACAACCTGGCCGGCAGCATTCAGGCCCAAAACTACTGTCAAGGCAACTTCAGCTCCCAGAGCAAGTTTGTTCCCCAGGGCCATAACTTGGCATCCTTTAGAAACCAGCACCAGTACAACCGCAGCACCTGGCGGCGCAGGAAGAGGGACAGTGTTCCTGCTCTGAACCAGAGCCGATGAAGGGACATTGTGTTGTGAGAGGCTGTAGGAAATGCCCCTGCACTGTAACTGAATGCACAGGTCAAGTCGAGATGTCTCCCATTGCTTGCTGGAAACTTCCGGCAGGTCCCCATCTTAACTGCGCTTATTTTGTTGCATCAGTCTGAAGTCGGCAGCCCTCTCACTGAACTGGATTTCCACCAGCAAAAGCTTGAGCTGATTAATGAGGTTAGTGAATACCAGACTGGGCCATCCTCAGCTGGGTCACCGCCCAGTTGGTTTTCAGTGTCCATGCAAATGAACATCTTGTGCCATAGTACCAATCTGGTTCATTAGACCTGACATCTCTTAACAAGTTGGCTTTTACTTAGTCTTTCTTATCATTTTTAGGCTCTTTCAGTCTTCTAAATGCGACTACCTACTGGGTCAAAACCTGATTCAGAGCTCTTAAGGTTTGGAGTATCCCCTACAGATTGTATTCTGAACAAAAATGAAGCACTACCTATGCAGCACAATGCTGACAATGTTTTTGATGATGTGACAGCACAAGAGACAGTCTCAAGTGCTTAAACTGTGACGACTGGTATGAATGTAGCAAGTGTGTTTGTTTTTTTGTTTGGTTTGGGGGTTGTTGTTTTTTGGAATTCTTTTTTTTTTTGTATGTGGTCATACAAGTATTTTTTTTGTCACGGCCGTTTTTTTCTTTTCTTTTTTTTTTACATCGGCACTATTATTGTTTCTTATTTTGTAGAAACTTCCACTTTATATTTGTTGCATATTGTGCAATAATTTTTAAGTTAATTTATTTCACATTTTAGTTTGATTTTACACTTTTTCTTTTATTTCTTGACTATCTGTGCAATAGATGGATTGAAAGGCTTCGGCAAAACATTTGCAAGCACGTGTGTGTGAGTGTGGCTTTCCAGCAGAAGGGGGAGCTCTGGTAGAACAAATGCCCTGAAAACCCCCACAATGCCAATATTTTACTCATATTCAAAATCTCGTAATCCCCTTTTGCCGACTGCGTGTTCAAATACTTTTCCCACCACCGGTTCTGATTTTAAACATATCACTAAGGATGCAGACATTTAGGGTTTTTTTATCTGAATGCATTTCCTCATGAAAGGCATCGGGTAAATGTACCTTAAGCTGTGTTTCATGTGTCATTTCAAAAATGGTTGGTGCTACTTATTACCAGCAAAGTGCTTGTTTTCTGCCTTATATATGCTTTGATTCTGTTAAAGCAACAGGTTAACTGCCTTCTTAACTGACCAAATCTTCCCTTTCTTTTTCTGTACGTAGCCAGAGCCTCATGTATTTGTTTCAACAAGCACTGCCAGGGTTACATGGCTTTTAGTTCTGCATGCTGTCTCTGGGTGTCTCCTCCAGGGGCAGACTTCTTTTGCAGTCAGTGATTGTCAATATTAGCATCATGCCTCATCTCTTTTTTTTTTTTTTTTTTTTTTTTTTCTCAAATGAACAAAATGACAAATCAGTTGTTAATGGTCTTCATGTTTAAAATCAGTATCTGAAAGCGACAGTTTACACAGCAAACGAAAAAAGGACCAGAGTTTGGGACACTCTACAATCACTTCAAGTGAGGTTTGATTGTTTCAGGAGTCTAATTATAGCGGCTCTGCATACTAAACTCAGTGTGTTCTATGCATTGTTCTTTTTCTTTTCAGTGCAGCTTTTCAGAAACTTGTCTAGATGATAGTTGGGTTTCTCACATTACAACATACCAAATCTCCAGCTCATATCTGTGTAATGAAGGATGGGTTTCATGTGTAAACGAAGGACGTTTAGATGTATGCCATGTTTATTTTTGTTTATTTTTTTTATGTAAGTTTTCTATTTTTTTAATAAACATTTTAAAACTCTGTTTTTGTCAGAATAAATTCTTAAATGCGTCAAAGTTACTTTCTTCCTCCTGAAAAATGGGATTGCACCATCAGACTTCTGTTTGTTTTCCTTTGCAGGCCAGCTAAGTTCTATAGAATTCCCCTGGAGTGAGCATGTACTTGGCCACATGCACAGAAAAGTCTATTTACTCAGGACAGTCAGACTGATGGGTACTGCTGGATCTTTTTGTTGTAATCCCTTTTGGTATCTAAAGGGGGCACTGGTGGAACATGGTCATTAAATCCATAATCAACCAGGGTGATAACAGGATATAGCAAGGTACAATGTAAATAATTTAAATAAAAAAACCTTTTTTTACCCACTTTCTTTGATTTACTTTGTCACAAAAAGTATCCAGAGAATTCCTGTTGCCATTCATTTTCTTGGGCTAGTACTGCTTGTAGTGCTGATATTTTGGCACTGCCGTCACACGTATTAAAGGCTGAGTCTCTGCTTGTGATGAGTACAGGATCCCTCATTATGTTATTAAAATCTGGAGATTAATGTACTGTCAAGTTGATGTCAACTAAATAATATGCCGTTACACAACCAAAGCAGCCTGTTTTAAACTAAACATTAATATTCCTCAAGCAGAAACAACACAGTCCTGCTGTTGACATCTGTATCTTTCAGGTGCACTGAGCAATCGCAAGCATTACATTTCCCCACTTAAACAAGTCAGACAAGTTATCTGCTCCTGTTTCTTTTAATTAATTGTTAGTGGACTGAAGTTTAGCTTTTTGGGGCTTTACCTCCTAACAACTACAACATCAAGGTTTAAAAACTTACAAAATAAGTGAGTCTCATTTCCAAATATCTGTACCACTAGAAACACGGTTCTAAAAAAGAAATGTCATTGAAAGCTGTTTTGTGCAAAAGTTATTGAGATGGAAGTTGTGGGTTATTATAGGAAAGGGGGCACCTTTCAATTGTACTTGTCACAAGTAATAGTTGTACAGAGCTCCAGCTAAACTTGCACAGATAACTCTTTTTTGAGCAAATCAAAAGGTGAAAGAAGGGATCCAAACGTTTCCTTACACTGACAGGATATCATATGCTTGCTTTCTTAAAAAACTGATGCATGTTAGGCACACAGTGAAAAGTTGATTTGGTGTTCAGCACATCAGGGTTTTCCCTCAGGCTCCGGTACACTATACCCTCTGATACTCAGTTTGTTTAAATGACAAGGGCAATATCTCATTGTATCCACAACGCTAGGCAAAACACAATTTTTTTTAATCTCTATTGGATTGTCGACCAGCCCTTGAGTGAGAAATGATTGTAGCTCTTTGACAGAATTTTTTTTTTTTTTTTTTTTTTTGCCATCTAGTTGACAGCTGATGTGTTTTTAATCCTCATGAAAGTCTACCAGCTGCAACTGGAAACAGGTGGATCCAGGTAACGGTACAGTGTACCACAGCATCCATCCATCTATTGTCGTTACCGCTTATTCCCTAATGGGGTTTCGGGGAGAACTGGAGCCTATCCCAGTGGTCAATGGGCGAGAGGCGGGGTACACCCTGGACAGTCCTGTACCACATCCATCCATCCATCCATCCATTATCAATGCCGCTTATTCCCTGTTGGGGTCACGGGGGGAACTGGAGCCTATCCCAGTGGTCAACGGGCGAGAGGCAGGGTACACCCTGGACAGTCCTGTACCACAACTTAAAGGTAAAAATACACAAATATTCTTTAGACTTTGACCCATTTAGTTTTGCTCTGGTGTATTTATGAGTGGATTTTGTTGTGCATAGGACCGTGACAGCCTTCTGTACGTCTCTTCGATGTGCCAGCTTGCCTGACCCAAATTTTCAGCAATTCGTACCTCACGGGAGTCTGTTACCTTTTCACTTTCTACTCTGAATGCAACAAAACGTACACAACACAAAAGAAAACTATCTGAGGGAGTTAATAAGCCTAGTAAACATATCCGACAACTGAACTCAGTTTAAGGGCCAGATTACACTTATGATTCTGCCAAATCATGAGCTGAGTGCCAATAAAGCAAATTGAAGGGCGCTGTTAAAACATATCTCCATGGATATGAAATGAGGTGGTCCATCCACGTGCATTATAGATTTAAAATAATGTTAATGTAACCATTTCCTCTCATATCCAATGGCCACCTTTCTGTTATTTCTATATTTAGAGCCAGTAGGTCAGCTACCCTCCCTCATTCTCTTCAATCTCTGTATCACAGGGAGAAATCTGATGAAAGGCTCTGCTCACAGATTGTTTGCTGTGCCGGGAAGATATATTGAGGAGACATTTTACCTATTGCCTTCTTTACAGCATGAGGCCAAATAGTCACCAACAATGGATTGAGAAAATCCATCCATTCATTATCTACACCGCTTATTCCAAGTCGGTCGCGGGGGGGCTGGAGCCTGTCCCAGCTGTCACTGGGTGAGAGGCGAGGTACATCCTGAGCAGGTCGAGAGGAGAAAAGGATGAAGTAAAATAAATTAATGCATCTATTGGATACTCGATAACCCCAGTATTCGTAGGGCAGCATCTAACACCAGGAAGCACCTTGTTTCAGTTTTAATAAGAAGAATTTTCCCTTGTGAAGATTCAGTTAGTGCAAATGATTCCATTCCCAACTGTCTTTTTTTATATGCATTTGTGTGATGTGTACCATTAGTGCCAAATGTGGTCTTAAAAAACTGTCTAAAATCTTTTAAGTGACCAGACATATTTAAAATAACACTCCTATTGCCGGCACAGGAATTCATAAGTCTTAATCCTGATAGTCTGACATCCAGATCCGTTTGAAACATACAAAAGAATAGGATAAAAAAAGGATAAAGAAAAATAACATTTGGTTTAAGATGTTCTGAACAATGTTTTTATTTTTTTTTTCAGTATATGAAAAAGGTCACGCATCCCCATACAAATATCAATCAGCTATTAGTTTCTTCACAGAGCGAACCCACAGCACTGAGCTGATGAATATAGCAGAGCTTTATTTCACGAGGAGTTAAAATAGATCAATAGAATGCTAAAAGCAAAAAGAATACTCTCATATAAACATGATGCCAAAGCAGTGTGAAAGGTGACTTCTGTGGGAAGTGTAAATATTCATTGAGCTCTAACATGCTCAGCCAACATCTCCCATAAGACCTTTGCTTTATGCCCATGCAGAAAAAACATGCCTATAAATGATAAGGTTTTACATATAAGTACTTTTCCTCCTTACTTTATAAAAAAGTCCACCCTTACTTTTTTCTAAAGGCGCTAAGAAGACAGTATCAGCAAAGTGCTGCAAATCAAAAGTGCTGCAAATCAAAAGCAGCTGATCTTCATCAGATGTGTCTACCTCCTAAAGCTGAGGTTTTGAAACAGGTCTGACATATTATGCTTATTAACTGGGTTTTATTATATCTTTCTCTGGCAGTGGTTGAAGTGTTTTTTCTTTTCTTTTTTTTCAATTACCTTTTTTTCCTATACAACTCAATCGCAACATACAGACGGTTTAAAAGATATGATTAAAAAATATGGAAAAGCTCATCAAACCTCTTGCTGAGAATGAAGAGAGAAAACTGCTTTTGTGCATGTTTCTGTGTGTGTTTGTCATCAGTCATCAGTACTTCTTCTGTTGAGCATTTTTTTCCTTTCAGTCATTTGTATTTTTCTCCTCTTTGGGACTACTAATGGTTTATTTTATCTTCGAGTATCTTGTCTTAGATGATCACTGACAGTTATATTTCATCTGAGCCCTTTGAAACAAGGGACAAACATTTCTTAGAGTTTCAGACTCAATAGATAGATGGATGCTTAAAACCTCAGAGAAGCAGATGATGCGCAACCTAAATTTACCTCCTGTTTGACGTTGCCATGAAGGCTGACAGATTTTTACAAACACTTTTCAAACTTCTCAGACTGGCTGGCTCGTGTCTCACCCTAACCCAGACAGCTGGGCCGCTTAAAAGTTGACAGGGCTTTAATCATTATTCTTGTTCATTAACACTTCCTGCTTTTCGTGCCAGACAGTCAGCAGTGTGCTGTGGGCTGTTTGAGAATATGCCATACTGTGTGTGTGTGCATGTGTGGATGCTCTGCCACTGTCTGTGCATGGCTGAAATTCACATGGCATTTGAGCAGTTCATTTCACTTTGATTTACAGTTTGGTATATGTGCATTTAAAAAAATGTCCATCCTTTGGCAATCATGTTGAAAGGAGTTTTTTTTTTATTATTATTCTTCTGTTTCTAAACTACATCGGACAGTGTACACTCAGACTGAAGGAATTGTGACAGATGAGACAAGCTAATTGGTGCTCATGACAGGGCCATCAGAAAAGCAAATTTTCTCCACTCAAAAACAGAACAAACCTGAGAAAAAAAAGTCTCGATCTGTGTAGTTTGAAATGGTCCAATTGATTCGAGCAGAGATTGAAAGAACATTGAAATGAAAAATGGAATGAACTGAAATGTATTACTGAATGCAGGATCAGATTTTTATTTAATATTTTGCCTTTTTTTATTTAAACACTCATAAAAGTATTACCAGAAAGATTCAGCAAGGTGTTCATCAAATGAAGTAATCTGTTCTGACATTAAATGTGATTTTCATCTTGAAATTTGTGAAAAATAGCATGGGAACACTATTCCAAAATTAGAATTCAGTGTCACTATCTACAACCTGAGGTAAAGTGAGAATATTGCATGGTGTACGTACAGACTAATGCATGACAAGTACCTTGCATCATCTTTTTTAACAAGGTTGATTTTTTAATCTCAGTATGTTCTTTTATTATGTACCAAGTGCAATACCCTTTTACAACAACAGAATCCTAAATATGCATGTTCTCCCCTTTTATTCATAGATTTTCTCTGGGTACTCTGGCCTCTTTCCACAGTCAAAAACATGCATGTTAGGTTAATTGATTATTCTAAAATGCTCGTCGAGGTCGCTGGTCTTTGTGTGGCCCTGTAATGGACTGGTGACCTGTCCGAGGTGT